CACGGTAAACGGCAATTTGCATGCAGCCCGAACTCTGCTAAACGCGTTCGTTAGAACCACAAAGTTCTAATCTTGTAATCCGACGGTTCTTATAAAAAAAAAACGGGTATGACCTCCTTTGCACCGATGTACATATAGGAACACGGATGTGCCTTAATATACAAGTATAGGACTCGGGTACTTTCTATTATCAAATGTTTTATCTCTAATCTCTCATTTATCTTACCTCTTATTTCATACCTCATATCCAGCATCCGGCTAGACCATCTCTTAACACTAATCCATTATGTCTAATATCTTATCTATAATATTATATATGTATGCGTTTTCCAAATACCCCGCTATTTTATTTTTACACTGCCTGATTAGAATAAAAAGGTCTTTAAAACGATTTTAATCGAAAAACCACATTTCTACGAGCGTTTAATATTATTCACCATAATTAGGTCTGGACATCGATTGGTTGTTAATGGTGAAATAAAAAAAATGTTTAAAAAAAAATGAAACATATTATTAAAATAAAAAATAAAATGCTTCTGAATTATCTCAAATGAAATCTGGCAGTTGAAGTGTAATGTCCTTTTTTTTTATTATTATTAAAGTGTCATTTTTGTAAGTGGTTTTTTTTTTAAATTTAAATTTATACCGTATTCATATCAAAATGTCAAGCACATAATATATTAACTCAAGATCTATTTACTTAACTTAAAGTTTCACAATAAAATAGTCGGCTAAAATAGCGGGTTTTAACATTTTAAAAATTGTTTTTTTCTATCAACAATATTTAAATTTTTACCTTTTTTTCCAGAGCTGGCCAAATTAAAGTGTAACGTGTATATTTAATTATTGTTTTTGATTAAGAATAACTTAAGAACTAAAAAATGTTAAACTTAATAACAAACAAATCGATTCGGTAGACTCTCCAAAAAATTCTGTATTTGTATCAAATTTGGCGCTTTCCATTCTCTCGAGGTTCCAAAAGTTTACAGAGCTCTGGAAAATCAGTAAATATTTAGTCATTTTATAATGATGTTTTGGAAATAAAAAATAAATTAAAAATGTTTTCAAAAAGAAAAACTACAAAATTGCAATTGGTATTTTAAGTCGACCACCCTAATAACACGGGTAAGGGTCGGTACGGTAAAACAAATGGTACACAGTGCAAATGGCTAGACGGGCGACGGTCAGCACTTAACCTGAAATTATCCCTATCGTTTGCTGTGTGTCGTTTACACGAGTGGGTTAACACCAACGAGACAGGTCGTCCATATACAAAACAAACCTATGTACAATCAACCATGTTAAACCGACACCGTTCCTTCTCAGCAATTCCTTGTCGACCGCCAAAGTCACCCTACGCGCTCCTGTATCGGTTTTGCCTACCCAAAGCCCCGTCTTATCAGATAAAGATGTTGGTCGTCGTTTCTTAAAAAAATATGTATGTGTAATATATCCTCTTCACGAACAAACCTATGAATATCTTCTCTAAATTGCATTGCTGCATTGTTTGGCCATATTTCTCTGCTCTGTGCCTCTTTCGCGGATTTTAAAACACCAATCTCTCCTATTGTATGTAGGGAATTCACTTACCAGGAGCCATTATCAGCTGTCCCTTATCACTATTATCTTATCACTGATAATTTCTCAACTGTATCTTCTCCAAATTCCCAATATTCAAAGTGGAAATATGTCTACATTGACTGCTGAATCTCTACTCTTTCTGTTGGCTACAAAATATAGTGTATAGTTTTTATGATATATACTATTTTAACAACTCATTAACACAATGGACAGTAAAACAACAGTTTAGTCGATAGCGTACACTAGTTAGTTTGGTTGAAAACTGCATGTTTGAAATGCAAAAAAATAAATTTATAAACGCAAGTATTTGGAAGTTTATTATGAAGTTTTTGTACATATGAAAAAAATCGTATTTAGAACTAGAACAGCTGGGCTTACCAAAATATAAATGGAAACTCAAACGTGGTCGACGTTGAGTTAGTATTACCATAATGTTATATTATATTCCACTAGGTTTGTACTAAAAATAAATTGGGAGTTTATATAGTTTTTCAACAGTGCTGGGCTGAGACAATTTTTACTGGACGAAACCACAACAACTTTTGTTATCCACTTAAATTAAATTGTATTGTTTAAAAAATAAAAACGAAAACTTTCAGCTTTCGGTATAGCTCTGTTATTTTGCATCGGTACGGTTGCCTACTATATTACTTTAATATAATATGTATATTATCTTATATAAACCAAACGTCTTTGGCCAAAGTCGAGGATTTTTTTAGTATTAACATGATATATTTGAACATATTGGTCACACAGTACATGCATTTTTGATGGCAACTATCGATTCACTGTATTATTTTTAAAACTAAAAAAAAAACATTGTCTGCCATCGATCTTAGACCGTGTAATGTGGCAGCTGTGGCCGTGAGTAAGACTTTGGAATTGACACACATATTTTGTTTGCCATTTATTGGGCTATTATGAAAATATATTACCGTACAGAGGTGTAATTTAATAAGTCGTTTGCACGTCCGCGAAGCTGACGAGAAAATAAATTTCTCGTCAACAGCTGCTGATGTTGTCGTGACGGGAAAAATTAAGTGACAATAAGATAATCAAAATATCTTTGCCGGAAAGGGGTCGACGGTTAATCAACTACGAAATGATTTCGCATAACATAATGGATGGGCTTCGTCGAGGAAAAACCAATTAATTACTCTTCTTCCGGCGGTATATAATATATGTGTTCTATATACAGTAAAGACAACGTTTTATAGCCGTCCGACGTAATAGGTAATATTATTGCCACGCCGAAAGTTGCCTTTAAGCCGTTTGATATTATATTTTATAGAACAGAAAAATGAAAACAATATGTCAACGTTGACCGAAATTATTTCCTCAAATTTTTCACAAACCGTCGTTTGGCTTGTGTTTTTTTTTATCTTCTTCTCTTAATATGGCAAAATATTATACATTTATGTACAAAACACAATTATTATGCTATTGCGTTCCGTTTTTCAAAAAGATATTCAAATAACACGCCGGATGTCTTTTATATCGTTTCGGAATGCAAATAACTGTAATAAGGAGTAAAAAAAAAACACCATACATTTTTCATGGTCGCTATACATGTCTGATCCGTCAAATTGCACCGCAGGCTTAACCCGTCCGATCGCTCGGTTGCTGTGGTTTTTTTATTTATTTCTTATATCTTGAAATTTCTCAGTATAAAATACACTACACCAAAACTGGCAGAAGAAAGGTTATATTTTGAAAAATAGCTCACTTTAGCAATTAACGTGTTGGAACTTATCAAAAGCAGACGCAGGAAAAATATCAAAATTTAATTGAAAGAAGTTAGAAACGTTCTAGCTGTTAGAATCGGTTGTATAATTGCCTCCGTTGTATTTATTCAGCCGTACATAAAGGAAATGAACCCAGACGGAAAGTTTAATAATAATAATAAGTGCATACTTTGGTAGAACATGAAATCAAGGGGCAAAGAAAAATGTAAAAACCAAGTTAATTGGCTAATTATTGGACTATATTGTTAAAAAAAATATACCAGAACTAATTTCGGTTTGATCAATCCAAAGTTGATTGGCTTCCTCGAGTATGCGCACTGCTACTCATCAATCAGATGTATACTAATTAATCACTGAACTGTAGGTAAAGATAACGGCTATCGACGATATCGTGTGCTGTGTATAATATCTTTACACCAAATAATAAAATATGCAAAACTAATACAAGCCTAATAGTTAGCAAGTACAACCGCAATTTAAATAAAACGAGATAGTGCAATCTAAAACAAATCAAAAAATTCAAGAAAACTTTAATAATCTACATGGCCACTGTGACCAAATAAATTTTATCCAACATCTGCCGTATGTTTACCACCATCGATCATCGTTAATCGACTACTTGTGATCAGTTAACGTTATTATTGTGAATACTGTGAACGGTATTTACAATATAGTCCTACTGCATCGTGTTCAAGCCTATCAAAGATCGTTATTTATTATTCTATTGTTTGCCAAGTCACATAACACCCGACTGCTGTACTTAAAGTAATACTTTATATTATGTTTCTGCAGCTGTCGGTGGTGCAAAACATTCATTATTAGATTTTCATTTCAAATGCACAACACTGGCACGTGCACGAACCGTGAAACGACCAACATGTACCGTGTAGAGATTTGTTTGTACACGGAGAATAGGATAATTAAATTAGACCTACAAAAGCTGCAAAAACACGGGTCCCTACCCGTTTAATACGACCATCTTGCACATTGTGTTAATTATAGTAGTTACAGTATTATATCGTGCAAATAAATTCGCTTTAAATCCGTCAAAATATTATGATTATATACAATTAGTGTCATTCGGTTATAAAGAAAATACAAAAAATTCTTGTTTACCACCTTACGTTTGGATACAAAAAAAAAATCATTATTTAAATAATGCCCAATTCCGTGTACCTATTGGCCAACTTTTATTGCTTGCAAACAACCGAAACTGCGTCTACTCTTTGTCCGTGGCAATGTAGTTTATTAATATACAATATTATAACAGCTACACTTGAAATTACCAACCCGAACAATAGAGATCGTTGCACAGATAATAATAATAGTATAATAACGAATAAAATAAGTTAATTAAGATGTCACACAACGATAGTGCGTTTCGTACACTTTGTGTGAGGGTTTTTCCATTTCACTGCCGAGTTATTTCAATTTTCCTTACAGCACTATAATAAATAAAGTATATTAAACTTATCTTACTCGGACGACGAGTGCGTTTTATGTTGTAAATAAAACTATTGTAGGTAGTAAAACGGTAAAAAATCAAACTCGACCCAAGTTGAAATGCAATAAAGGCCAAAGGGTTTTCTTGTATTGATGTATATGCTTTACACAAGTACATCAGCTTATATTATTATTATATTAATTTTTCTTCGCGCATTTGTCGTTTTCCAGGCCAAAGACTTGCCGGCCATGGACTTGAGCGGTACATCCGACCCTTATGTCAGGGTAACGCTTTTGCCGGACAAAAAGCACCGTTTGGACACTAAAGTGAAACGCCGCACTCTGAACCCGCGCTGGAACGAAACCCTCTACTTTCAGGGTAAGCCATAGTAATAATATTTCTAAAACAAAATCAGTGTACGACAAACTCCATTACCAATTTAAATACACACACACTCACTCCTCGAATCATTGATCCCCCCCTGACCATTGTAATGCCAATTCGATTTGCCTTATTTTTGAAACGCTGCCTTGTAGCATAGATTGCAAAAAAAAAAAGATTCTATTACCGTTCACAATGGAAATCGATAAAAATATTTTGTCTCGATAAGTTTGAATAGATTTCATAAAAAAATGTGTTCCCCACTTCTCAGTCAGTGTATAGAATTCTGAGCGCAACATTGCAAGACACGTGTCCGGCGAACCGTATACCCTTTTGAATTGCACACATTAAACGACCTGTACCCCGGTTAAGTCTTTAAAACCCACAACGATTGCGCTCAAAGACGTCCCCGGAAACGACCGACAAACGCATTACCATAGTTACCTAATCGTAGATGGTTTTCAAAGAACTTTTCGCTCACGCGAACACACAAAAGGCATTATACGCATTATGCCGTTTACAAACGAACGGTCAGCAGCAGACGGGAGTTATTTCTCCCCACGGGTCCATCACAAGCTCCCCGACCCATTTAAAAACGTTTCCGGCTTTCCGGCACACACACGAGTCCCTGACCGGCCACTCGAGCCCTTTTTGCCTCTTTTTTGCCCTTTTAAAAGCCCTCGTTGTTTCACCGGTTATGTCGTTTCCACGCAGGTTTCACAATGCAAAAGCTACACAACAGGACACTCCATTTGCACGTTTTCGACTACGACCGCTTCTCCAGAGACGACTCCATCGGCGAGACTTACATCGAACTGAACAACGTGAGTAACCGCCGCCATCTTATAATATTCTTACCGCATATTGTATATATATATATCACGGTTTTCCCGACAGTGATAAGAAACAGCTGGTTACGGATGCTGATAACGAGACATATGTTTAAGGATTAGTGATAAGAGTATATGGTATCAGGGACAATAAAAAATATGGGAGAAATGAAAGAAGGGGAGGGTAACGTAAACTGTTATGGCTGGATGTCAATCTAAAATTGAAATGGACATTTTAGCGTGGCACTATTAGTCACGCTCAATAATATAAGAGACAGGTGATAGGATATTACTGATAAGTGATAAGATTCAAATCAGATTTGCTATTTGGTCGAAGGGAATCAGGGTGAGAGGAGGGACATTTATCAAGTCTAAAAACATAATATAATAGATGATTCAATGTTTAGAAAAAACTTAAGCAACACTTATGGTTATATTTAGTAATTAAAAAAAAATAATAAAATATTTAAATGAACCCTTGACCACAAAATTAATACTTTATAGAGTAATATTTATCAACACCAGCTGGGGGGGGGGGGCAATGTAGTTTTTTTTATTGAGTTAAGGCTTCCACAATCAAGTCAAGTACACAAATATTTGACTAATATTTCCTACTCTATGTACATGTTAAGTTATATGTTTGTGTTGCTGCATTATGCGTACAGTTTGAAAATAGGTTAGGTGAGTCTGGCGTAAATGTGTTTGTACCATCAGGTTTGTAGGTTTTGTTAATTTTATTGGTGCAGTATTTAAGGAATTATTTTGTATTTTTAGGAGTGGTTCACCTGTTTCACGTAGTAGACTTTCGATTGGGCTTGTCCAGTATGCGCCTAAAGCCAGTATCAATCCTGTATTTTATGTGAGATTTAATGTTTATCATTTGTAACATTGCTGAGTTGACTAAGTTGTGAATGACGTCACAAGTGTTGTTATTACCGGCGCCACATTTATGATTACATAGATAAGATTTTGATCCGGTTATGTGTTTGTTTAGCTACTGTTGCACGTGAATACGGGCGCTTGATTGTGCTTTTTCAACATAAATGTACTCAATACACCCAATGTGAATAAACATTATTAACAAACCAAAGTAACACAAAAACAAGGTTCTCGGTATTTCACACAAAAACTTAGCAACGATTTCTTCGTCATCATTATTTTCTTTTTCAACTCTCGTCTGTCGAAAACCGTTTTTGTATTTATACCGGTATTGAACTTAAATGTAAAGAAAAAATATCGAAATTAACCTTCTATTCATTGATGTCGTTGATTTCGAAAGCTCGAAATCTTTCTCGACAATAAACAATGGTCGTCCGTACTGGCTTGCGTTCAGTATAAAATAATACACAATCTAACATCAAATCATTATCAGCTCTCGAGAGTTAAACGATTAAAAATGCGTTATAAGTTCACGTTATTATCGTTTCTTTTTTTCTGTCAAAAGAATCTCAAGAGACTATTCATTTTTTTCCATGGCAATACGTTCGAGTGTATGATATTGTTATACTCTTAGTAATAATATCGTACAGCCACAGTACAAAGCGAATAATATATCCAAAAATTTAGAACCAGGATACGAAAAAAAAAAAAAATAAAAGGACCCCTCAATGGCCGGTCGAGTGCCTGTGGCCCTCTTTCGACATTGTAACAGTTTTCGTTTCAAAAGGAATATAATATACTAAAGAGAGAACCCAACGAGACACATTGTGCTAGCCCGATAGGCAGGTACTCTCCAACAGTTGCCACCATCGTTAACGCTGTAAATCACTTACTTGATGTACTTCACTCGGTGTTAAATCCGGTGCGCCCTACATCGTAATGGTGCCTATTCAAATAAAAGCATATACGGGTTCTTGAATGTATAAATAATATACACTTTTTTCTGTATCTTTGATGTATACTACACGTTGCTGCTATAATGGTATTTACAGTCAATAATAAAATTAAAAAAATACAGCGACGTCTCTCACTGCGGCAAGGCGATTAAAAACCAATCAAAACTTTCAAAGTCGTCGGAAATAACAAACGGCACGTTTTTTTTTTTAAAGCACTTACCAACTTATGAAATTTAAAAAGTAGCATTTTTTTTTTTATGTTATTATTTTATAACATATTTTCCGGCGTATCGTTCGTGTATTTTTGTACTTTTAAAAGAACTTTTGTTTGTTGTATTTTGTACCTCGTTTTTTTTAGTGAAATCAGTTAGGTTAAGTATTTTTAACTTGTTGCAAATGTGTTTTAGGATGTCCGTTCTTAGGTCAGGTTGTGTTAGATAGGTTCTAAGTAACAGCTTGGTCGAATCTATGTACAAATGGTTAAATATTAAGTATGGGTGATTAGTTAACTATGACCCAGTCAATAACTTCTAGAAGATTGTTGACTTTATAGTAAAGCAGTAGCCAAAAAGTAAATCATTTTTTTTTATAGTTGTTAACGTATGATTGGAGCAAGATAAAATCCATTGAAGTTAGCGTCCCGACCAGTGCGGAGACGTTTTGGAGACGATGCGTTATTTTAGCCAATTAAATCGTTTTTTTTTCCTGACTACAAATATTGTGCTAACGGCTGTGTATACAGCTGCAAAACTATGCATTGTGAAAAACGAGTGTTTCGCGTTATTACGATCACCCTGTAGACGGTATGGAATGTAACAGATCGTTATGGCCGGCAACACCTTGCTACCTATACCTATACACGAATCGTTTTCCGCAAAGGTCCCGGACTTAGGTTGTAAACCCGACAGCACATTGCGCTTAACAAATTCCGAGTGCATCGTTATTCGTTAACCGGAACAATCAATCTTGGCCGCCAAGTGTTTGCTACCAAACTGCGTTGTATAATTCGCCACAAGTGAAACGGCAAAATTGCCTGCAGACTGTTCCCGGCACAATCCTATATAACAAGCAGCTCGAGTGTAATAATATACCGAGAAAAAAAAATAGACTCGCTAGTATATTTTGCAACCATAACCTACAGCGTGGCGATAAAAAAAAACGAATCACCCTGTACAGTGTACACTATCAAAATAATTGTATTTTTTTATTAAAAAAAAATGAATGTTTAAAAATATGTACCACCCGGTTTAAAACTAATTAATTGTATCGATAAATCAACCTTTTTCAGTATGAAACAACAATTAAAATCCTACTAGTTTCTTTCTGGTACCTGGCAACCTAATTATTCAGACATTAGAACTTTCCATCCTGGAACCGACATAATTCTGGGAGTCGTTAGAAAAAGTCATTAGTGTAAAACGGAAATTTCAAAATAATATATATTGTTTACAAACGCGCGTTTAATTTATTTCATTTTAAATATCCAAAACGCTTTCAGACGACGAATTCGGCAATTCCAACGAACGATCACTATACGCCTTAACCACTACTCTATCAGATTAAGAATGTAATCCAAAACGATTATATAGTAATTATTTTCGGTATCTCCGTTTTTCTACCACGGCCCCGCTTGTACATCATTATTTTCGCCTAATGTCTTCATTAACCAAATGGCGCTCAAGAAAATAACTATATCGAAACCGCTCTCCGACAAAAGTTCATCAGAATAACGCTGAGCTCACCCGACCGTGATAATTAACAAAAAAGAATATAAAAACAAAACGAAATTCGCCTCTTATCGCGACCTCGCTTTGTTATGGAATTTAATAACCAGTAAACCTTTCAGTACAAGACCGTGGCCTACACGAACCCATTGTCGTGGGTTTTTTGTTTTTAAATAAAAAAAAATCGCCCTCTAAAATCTATTACGTCTTACGAGCGATGATCTTAAGTCATCGCTTTCGCCTTAAGTACCGAAAATCCATTGACGGTGTCGCGAAAAAACACAATAGTATGACAGGACATCCTGTTGTGCTGTCCAAAACAGGAAAAAAAAAATATTCAAAACAACAACTTCAAAATATGAATATGTTTCTCATTTACTTGTGTAGGTACATATTTTACTATACTTTTTAACACTCAGATAATATTCACCTTCGTCCGTTGTACGTGAAAGAAGTATGGACTTTGTTTTTTAAATGAAAACATATTATGTTTTAATCTTTACAAAGTCATAGCAAACTAACTGACTGATACAAATTAAAATTTAAAACGCTAACTTAACTTAAAAATTATTTTCTACATATTTATGGAATAAAAACATATAGTTCCCATTTGAAAAAAAAACCTACTCCATACTTCTTTTATGATGTATAAGGGATAAAGATAAAAATGTTCTAAGTACTGGAAATTATAGTGGTAAAATATGTACCTACTAAGGAAAAAAACCTAGTGAGTCACATCAAATGCTCAGCCTGTATACTTGTATTACTTACAATTCTTGTAATATTTAATTTTACCTTATATTGATTTACAACGGTCAAGCTATATAATTCGTTATTCTCTCTTACTTTATCTGCTAATGTTATCTCAACAAAATATATAAATTACTAATGTTCGGTTATTTGGCCAGGTGGATTTTACGGCCAAACCGGTGTTCTGGAAAGACTTGACAGCACCGCTGAAGGACAAATGCGGCCATTTGCTGACATCCTTGTCGTACAATCCGATGACCAACAACTTGACACTGGGCATCATCGAAGCCAGAAACCTGAAGGCCATGGACATTAACGGAAAATCTGGTAAGCTTTTCAGATCACACTAAAAATGCAACTCACTAGGAAACATAAGCGCCGGGTTATAACACGTAGTCATAAAGAAATAATTAAACTGTACTGAAAATAGTGGGGTTTTTTTTTGTAGCCATTTGGGTTATTGTGTGTCTCAATCGGTAGGAACTTTTCTTAGAAGATAGATTATCCGTTAAAACATAATATGAAAAGCAAAATCACAAATCTGCCATGCGGTATGGCTTTTATTCCATCGCAGTGCATTCATGTAATAAATAAATATTATTTAGGTTAAGCACAGTCGTTGTAATTTTTAATATTAAAAAGTTTTTTTTTTTGGATGGTATACAAGGTTATGTAAGACAACGTGAAATGACAAAAAAGAGGAGATCAGTCCACGGGGCGGATCTCAACTCGGCCAAGTTTGAGTTAGTTAAAAATGTAATCGAGGTTTACAAAGCAAGACGTTTTTGTTTTTCAAGTCTTAGCGTTATGTAAGAACATCAGCCAGAACCGTATTATCTGGTGCACGGCCAACAAAGTAAAATCAAATCCCACGGGTGCCGTGAAGTTTTTTTAATTCGCCTAAACGACCCGGCCATAAAACTTCTTTCAAGTCCGGGACGGTCAACGCGACTAAGTTTTGTTCGGAAATCAATATAATATAATAAAGGTAGAGTTTCGTGCAAAACGCTGTATATAGCGCAATTTCAAAAACTTTGCGGGCGTAAGTACAACAAAAATTTCCCAACTCATTGAAGGTATATTTTGATCACATGGGCCAAACCTCCAAACACTCTGAAGGCATTATAGTTGATCTGTTTGCGTTCAATCACCACCTCTGTCGGCTGCCCATTGGTACATCACAAATAAAAACTTACATACCAACAGTAGTTAGCAAATTGTCTCTACTCAAACTTCCATTTAAATCTAAGTTCTTATCCTAATCTGTCTGTCCGTGAACGATAACTTTCATTGCATATACTTAATGTACATACTGTACAGATTGTAAATATATATTTCTCTGATAATAAAGATATAAGATAGGCTGCGAGATATACAAGATTTGGAACTAGAGGAATTTGAAATGACCATTAGGGGAAAAAATGAATCAATTTAGCTGTACTTGTTGGCTATAGTAAATATTTTGTTATTACATCTATAATACATAAATGATGTGTGATTTGTTGGCGCCAAAACTTTTGGACAGCTAAGCACCTTATTCCTACCATTGTGCGGCGACACAAGTTTTAAAAAGTTTCGAAAAAACAAAAAACAAGAAAAAGCAACTATAATAATGTGATACCTCATTAATATAGAATGTATACTCACAATTTGTCGACCAGTCATGTAGTGTATCGTGATGGCCAGAAAACGTTGAAAAATTAATGGTTTTTTTTCCTGCTGAACTTTTCCATTCAACTATCGATCGGCCACAAGTTAAAAAGAAAGCAAACTGTTTTTCTATATACTTAAACGATATACTATTGACTATGATAACATATTATACATAACAGATAGCTCACTAGACATGAAAACAAAAAAACATGACGTCACATAACTGAAAATGAAATCAGTGTGACCACAGATTCAAGCGTAAAATTTTCCAGTAATAATATCACAGATTAGACAAAAAGAAACTATCTTGTCTGTGATAATATAGTCATTAGTCAATTATCGTTGAATTCTTATGATTGCTAAGGAGTTTGTACGATAGGGAAATATCTACACAATAAATTATACTAACCATTAGAGAGTTTAAAATGTTCTATTGCAGTGTATGTTGTGATAAGCCGACTTAATTTTTTTTTTTAATTTACAATTTAATTAAGTGTAACAAGAGTTATGTCATTTGTTACACTGACTTAAATCTTTTCAAACCATTTGTTTAGTGATAATAAAGAGTTATGTCTACTTTCCCGCCATATTACACCATGATATCGAGAGTGTTTTAATCACAACACTATAATCAATATATCATTAAAATACATATCCAGTTACGGTTGAAGATGATATCGAAATGGATGAACAATATCCAGTTCAAGAAGAACCAATTTAAGTAATTGCTGAGCCAAATCAAATAGACTCTAGTAAAATATATTATAGAAAAGCTAAAAGTGACAAAAATTAACAATTAAAACATGACTAATATAAAAAATAATTAACCCTTTAATTAAAAAAAAATTAGTAAATTCAACTCAATTAGATTTAAGTAAATTTATTTTTTTTAAACTTATAACAGCTACTTTGTTATTAATTTTTATGGATTCTAATTTATACAGAAAGCACAAAACATGTTGTTTTATTATCCTATTAAAAAAATATTTATCTTAACATTACCACCTGATCTTACATAATATTCTTCTAAACCTTATTTTCCATTTCGTGAAAAGTTCATAGCTGTTGACTTAACCCCTTTTTCACGTGCACCCACGAATTATTATCCCTAGACCGTAACGGGATAGATACGTTTGCCATAAATTCCCAATACTCTTTCTGGAACCGTAAATTATAATAAAATATATTATAATAATATTGTTGTTGTGGAAATATACAATTTATGTTCCACAATGCCGTAGGACCGGCCAGGCCAGTTGAGTGATTTATGCGCATTAAAAATATATACTTATTCAATATTGGACTATTTTCTATTATCCGCGACGCGGTATTTTTTTTTTCTGTACTATTATTATTATAACCTCGGTGTATATTACATTACCATATTACTATGTAGGCATTATTATTATAGTTCACAGGAGTATTGGAATATTTTCCACGCAAACCCCGTTGTAACCCGGCAACGGTTGTGTGTTTATTTTATGTTCGACTGGCACTATTTTTTATTATTTATTTATTTTTTCCTTCATATTATGTTTGTATATCGTTGCCGATAATTTGTTCGTCGAACGCCTTTGACGCGAATACCGACCACGATAATATTATGGTAAAAAGAATAAATATGTTATTTATGTGTGTATTGTGTACAAACAACACCAAAGGTATTCGACCAAACGGTGTTTATAAAAAGGGCGAACGCGGTTTTAAGAACTTCTGGTTGATGTGGTGGTGGTTTTGCGGCTTGTGTCTCTGACACAAATGCCTCGGTTTTGGGGGAAGAGTAAGAAAAAAAAATAAATAACAATAATTAACAAGCAGAACGAATATTGCCGCAAACGACTCGCAGTCCATTTAAAGTAACAAAACGTGAATAATTTAAAAAAAAAAACCTACTTATCGTTTATACGATTACTTTATAACTATTTAATCGTGGATATTGTGTATGGATCTCTTATCACTCATATTTTGTATCTTATCACATTATCACTTATCTCTACGTGATAGTGTAACGCGAAAATGGTGACATGACAATGACGACATGAAATTTCTCAGCCCAATAACATATCTATGTCAAAAAATCCATTGATAACATGCAAAAATGTCAATATATTTTGTAGAGGGCCGTTGCACAATCAATATTATTGTTTAATGGTAAATTGCTGTGCTACTGTTGTGAAAACCGAATGAATATCGATCTTAAATTTAAATCTTTACAATGTCATAGCAAACGAACAGATTTAAGGAAAGTTATAAAGGAAATCTTAACTTAAGCCAATCTTAAAAACTTATTCTGCGTGCAATTTCCCCGAATTAAGATTATTAATTATCGCCATGTGCCAAATGTCTATGTTTCGCCAGAACCTTACTGAAATAGGTCCAAATAAGAAATGACCTTTGGCGAACAAAATGTGTGCGTGTTAAGGCTGGAAGCGTACCATCGCAAAAAGTTACAAATAAAGTTTGTGTGTAGTTTTTGTGTTGCTCGCCTATTACCAGCTGAAGACGAGCCCACAGTGGATTTTCAGGTTTAATCAACCAGAGAGAGGGCTTGACTAACACCATATCGTTGTGGCCGTATGGAAGCTTATTTTACCAGTGCATATTTTTTTATTAAAAAATATACAAAGAATCCACCGCGGCCCGTCAATTTCCAAATCGTCTTATGCGCGTGTACTCGGGTCTGGTCGATTTTTTATCAAGCGTTTTTTTTCTCTCGCCCAAGACGTGCGGTTTATTCAATATCACATTATAGAATACACACGGGAAGAAACTTAATAAAATGCTACATTAACAATACATGAATGTACCACACAAAAGCCGGGCCAAAAAAAGGCTGTTAAACGTCGGCTGTCACCTCTCTCATAATAGGCCAAAACTACCCAATGCATTTACCTGTGCTTGTCTGATCGGATAATGTATAATTTATCAACGTCTGCGCTGGAACTTATAAATCTAAAATTTCACCATCAAACCGCCTATCAGTTTATTTGAAATCTCCTTGGCTAATTTGTTATTACTGCGATTTTTTTTTTATCAACTGCTATCTACAGCCAACATGGTTGAAAATTTACCGCACTACGCTCTCCCTTGGGAGTGATTAAGCTTGCATTATATCCATTTAAATCATGTGGCAAATATCAGAGATAATGTTGCGGCCGTGTGGTTTTGTTTTATGTCAAAATAGGACCACGTATTAGTTTCCTAAGGAAATGTAAATTATAAGAACAATTGTTTGTTCTGGTCGATTTTTTTAGTTTTTAATTAGTTATGAGGTCATGGTCTGGTGATTTCCCTTCTTTGAGTTCATTTATTAAAAAATTGACTTCGCTTGGTGAGGTATGTTTTGCATGTAGGGACATTGGGAGAGGACAATTAATGAAAAAAATTAACTTTTTCTAAGTGTTCAGGGTTGGGATATATGTCAATATGTAGTTTGAAAATGTTGGAAAAATGTACTCCGAAAGATTAGAAGCTGTTGTTTTAATATGTTAAGTAAGTTTTTGGTAGTTTCCAGAGTGAGCAATATCTTGAGTTTGAGGATTTTTCTACCTATGTTTTTGATTTAAGGGGAAATATTTAGATTAGTAGGGTTTTGCAAAATTTCAGAAAGTTCTTTCCGCTTTACTGGACCTTGTGATAAAGAAGGATGTATAGGATAAGGGGTCTGACATTCATTTAACTTTACGAGGACACGAGTGTGGCCCGAGCTAATGTCATTTAAGTTATTATTGGAGAATTTAATATATTTCTAGTTAGTGTTGAAAGAATAGAAATCTAACATATCAGGGCCGGATGTATGAAAATAATTGTCTTTAGTTTGCTAACTTTTCGAACCCTGTGCAACAGGACCGTCTAGATCCGAAAAAGATCAATCCAAATAACAATTTCACTAACGTATGCGAGTCAAGTAGACGGGCGATCATCCGTACTAATCCGTTGTCAGACAACGGTTGTTACAAGCAAGTTGTATAATATAGCTGTTGTGCGAGTGACGAGCCAGTAAACATATTATTATTAGTATTCTCTGTTTCTTATGGTTGGCATACGTAACAGGTATTATTGTCATTGTAATTTGTTCGACACTGACATGCCGAAGCAGCCGAGCGGTTTAGGTATACAGGTAGAAGGTATTTGGTGTATAAAAAAGACAAAAAAAAAAAACAGCTACACCCAGATGATGCCGGGGATTTATCATTATATTTTGATGATCTACAAATAATAATATGAGATCTGACTACTGCTAGCTAGACAGGAATAAAAGCTTATTGCCAATAAAACCAATGATTGAAAACCCACTCGAAGCGAGTACATATATTATGCTGTATCACCGACAGGCGGATCCATAATCTTTTTTTTTTATAAATAACGTTTCCAACAGACAATAACCATTGATCCGAGAGTTGTTGTATAAAATAACATTTCTTATTTTTTTTTTCTTTTTTTTTTACCAATAATAAGCAGCTCGGTTGCCTGTGTATGACAAAAACAAACTGTACATTAATAATGTATTATTATTACTATATTATTATGCGGTACATAAAACAGATTTATGAACGTCTCATAATTCACAACAGCACACTCCGTGTGTTTCCAGTTTGCTCGAGCAGACCTTTTTTTTTTTTTATTTAATTTTTTCCTTTTAATCTTAAAAGCTCAACCAACTCGGTACTTACTCGGCAACAAGAAGTAAATTTAAATTATTTAACGCACGAGAAAAGTATAATACGCTTAAATACACTACATGTATAACTGGGAAATAGTCAAACAATTACTGTTATAATTTTTTAATTTTTTTTTTTAATGTAGCTCTTATAAATTATACAGGAACTGATGTGAAACAACGCAAACAAATCTTAATAATTCATTCTGGATGTATCGTGCAAACGTTATAAATATTTTTAATCTTAATGTTTCTTTGCCCAAGGCATAAAATATATATATAATAATATACTTCAACGAAAAATCTCGACAAAAATAATATAATTTCGAAAAAACAAGAACTCGGGTAACATTTTACTTTCCCAAAAATGTATGTCCAAAAAAGTTTTTTAATGTGTACTTAACACTGCTAAATTGCGTACAAACTGTATTGTTTGCAATACAGCCAAAAATAAAGTGAATTAAAATTAAATTAAATAGCAATAATACATTTTCCTATCTTATTATTATAATATAATAATTGTAAAAATATTTATAACACAATTGTTTCGTTTTATGTTATTCGGGGTGGAATGTTATGGCCAATAGGATCTTCTGAAATTTGTGCTAAGTGTTTCTTTTTGTCAGTGTGAAATTCTTGTTTTATTACAAACAAAAAGGGTGTTAAGCCACCAGCAAGCTGGGATGCCGTATGTTTATTTTATATTTTATAAGTAGCTTACATAAGAACCATAGAGTTATAATATTTCAGTAAATTTTTACTAAGAAGTTATAATAGAGTGCTTAATTTCAAAAAATCGTATCTTAGATAAAAGCTGATGAAATCGCTTTAAAATAAAACGCTTTGATGGGGAATCAAATTATTTGAGTACACAAATCATTGCAAAGACTATCGTTAATAAAGTTTCATTTTGGCAAATATACAGTCTGTTTAGTCACCTTAAATAAAATTGTTCCCGTCCCACCGTGGTGTAATTTTTTATAGTTCTTAAAAAAAAAATCGTTCCACGTTAATGGGGCACATAAAGGATAAACAAAAGATTATCTCGAGTAAAAAATAAAATGTGTAATCTAATTGTGTTACATTGCGTTTGTGACCATTCTACTATGATCATCCTCTGTAGTACTTGGTCTATTTGTTCAACATCTTTAGTTATGCAAAACAGGCACTACTGCACTACAGACCATGCGATTTTTGAAAACTATTAAAAAATACAATAACTGTGTAAAAAGCGGCTGAAATACATATTTAAATTTGTTTATGGATGTTAACGCATCCTATCCAGCGTCGGATAGTTACACAACTATAGTCCAACTATCATCTTCTTCTTCTTCAGCTTAACGGTCTTCGAAGGACCCGAGCTGCTAATAGTCCAGCTATACATTTTTATTATCATAAAACCGATACTGACCTAATCAGTGCCGTCGATGGAAAACTACACAGTAATAATAATAATAATATATTTGTGTGTGTACTGTTTAGACCCGTACGTTAAGGTTTGGTTGCACATTGGCGACAAGAAAGTGGAGAAGCGCAAGAGCATTGTGTACAAGTGCAACTTGAACCCGGTGTTCGATGAGAAATTCGAGTACACACTGCCGGTGGAGCAACTCAGGGAGGCGGCTTTGGAAGTGATGGTCATGGATTTCGACAACATTGGACGTAACGAGCTCATTGGCAAAATCACGATATCATGTAAGTCGTTTTGTATACACTAAGATTAGATTATGTGACCTTGAGTCGGGAAAACTTTAATAGCAAATAAAATTTCAAAAAAAATTGGGTACATTTACACAGAGTGGTTGTATTCGAGTTGACCGACTGACAACAGTCTGACTGACAGGCAAACCACTTGCAGGTCTGCTTGATAAATTGCTAATAAATTTATATACTACAATTTTATACATTTTTCCAAATTGAGGCCAGTACAAGCTGAATTAATGTCGACCTTCAATGAATAATCCAGTAATGTGGGGCTCACGGAGGCCGCATAAAAATCCCATTTATTTTGATTGTTTAAATTATTATATAATGATCGGAGTAAAGCTACTGGAAAAAAAAACAATAAAATTGAACCCTCCTTCGGGGATGATATGCATAGATCTACAGATATACCTGTAGTCTTAATTCGACATTAAATATTAACTGTAACGGCACAGCCGAGCTTTTGTTTCCCACCATTGTTTCATTTAATTAATTAAAAATGTTAATCAGTTAAAAGTTTTCAATGAATTCGGGTGTAAAAGAAATAGAGTGAAGTGCATCGAAACATAAACATGAATGTTTATCATTATTACTGTTTTTAATTGCTATTACTAACGTAATAAGTAGCGAACCAATTGATGAAGATTAAAAATTCAAACGACAATAGTAAAATTCACTTTTATACTACACATATATCGAATTAAAAATAGTTTAGTCCCATTTAGGAGAACGAAGTCACTAATAATTCAACGTATAAGGGATGAAGTTAAAAATTTTCACAGTATTGAAAAATAAAACAAAATATGAACCATAACGAGTAAGAAAAAGAAAAAGGTTAATTTTTGTGGAACACAGCGCTCCATTAAACATAAAACACTCTATTTCTCTGAAAATAATTACATTTTAATAGATTTTCCAATTCGAAAGACAGTTTAGTTAACTGTTATCTTACAACAGTTAAACCGTAATGAATCCCTCTGTATTTTATGATTTAAATCAATTGTTTATTGTATATTTGATTTTAATAAGCACTTGTAAAAACTTAATGGATTGCCCTGTACAACGATCGTCCCTATAGCAGCTATAACTAGGTTCATGCTACTCGGGACTTAGCTTCTCTAAGTTGCAGTTAAAAAAAAAACAAATGTTTTTTTCGTTCCTATCCATAAAATTAAAGAAAGTCGTTCCTACTTATACCAAAGTAGAAAACAAACTATTATAACATTCGTTCCAAGAAAAAAAAAAGCGATTAGCTGATTTTCTACTCCTATTGGTGATGCCTCTTATCGCTATTCTCTTATAGCAGGGTAACTTCTCACCCCTAAAGTAGACCCCTTTTCTGGCTACATTTAATTATGTCGGGTTCGACCGACGATAGATGATGGCTTTGCCCGGGTGACGTATTAAGTCAGTAGACTAACTTTTTTTCACTTGATTCGAATACTTCCTTACTTAGAGCCACGGCGTTTCGCACGAGTCGATTAACATCACAGTCTTCTTAATCTTTTATACGCCCATCAACGTTCTGACAAAGTTGGCTTCTCAAACAATTGGAATACGATAAGCACCTCCCTCTACATCTCCCCGGGGACTTTGCATACGACTGTGAGACTATAATAATATATAATTAAACATTATACGGCTGAGGGGACCCTTTAAATTGCCCCGTCTGCCAGTTACAAAACTTCACATTATTTGTGAACATGGGTTGCCGGTGCTTAATTTAATTTCTGTCGAACGTTGTTCCACCGAAACGGACTACTCTTAATTAAGACAGCATATGGCCATCCACTAAGCCACCGTTGGTCGACCATATTAGATTGATGTGCAAATAAAAAAAAAAGAAAACAAAATTACAGCCCGACAAGTTCTTTTAATCAGCGTTATCGAATCAGGCCGCACACCGAGATTTTTCAGAGCAATGGAAAATGTACTTGACAATCTGATTAGACGACCATCATGGATGGTACGGGAAAAAAAGGTTTTTTTTTGGACATAGGTATGACACGATTGTGCTGGCATTTGGTGGCTTCTGACCTTTGAAAAGATAAAATAACAGTCAATACATAATATATTATAAATGGTCTATGTTTTATTGTGTACATCAAATTTAACAATTATAAATATATTAATCCGACGGATGTGTTTGTATGTGTGTGTGTGTGTTTTTTTTTTTTGATAGCCAACAAAAACGCCACAGGACAGTTGGAAGCTCAACACTGGAAAGACATGTTGAGCAAACCGAAGCAGAACGTCGAATACTGGCACCGGTTGAAACCAGAATAATTTTGCTCGTGGTTTTTAAAAAAAAAAATTCATTTAAAAAAAAAAAATATATATATACACACAGAAAAAACCTAAAACATTAACTACATTATTATTAAAACTATATATCGGAACAAAAAAAAAATATAATCTATATTATTAATAATTATAACGATATTTTTTGCATTTGATAAAAATATCATTGCGAATTTATCTTAATTTTAATTGTTAAGCAAAAATTATATTCAATTTTATGTATAATTAAGAATTTAAAAAAAATATATATATAAACTTAAGAAAAATTTCTTTTTTGACGTTACATCGATGATTACAATATATATATACAGGGTGTTCCAGCATGAAAGGTAAGTAATAGGTGATTAGACATTTGGGGGACCCCCAAATAAGCCTCCCGTTTTCATTTTTTCGATAAGTCAAAAATTAAAGATTTCGACAGTTAATTAAATAAATAATGAGTTTAAAAAAAAAAAATTATTCCTTGTTATTCAGTGCAAAAAACTCACCTTAAAAGAGGGGTCAAATCATTTTCAGTCTTTTTCAGCCCCTAACTCTTCTCTTACCACTTATCTTATCTTTTTTTTTGTTGCCTCTAGTCTCTAATCATTTATCTCTTATCACTAATATCTTATTATTTATTTCTTATCTCTTGTTTCTAGTTATTTATCTTTAATCTTTTACCATTTAGCACCTATCTCTTATCATTTATCACTAATCTATCATAATTTATCTCTTACCAATTATATCTTTTCTTTTATCTCTTATTAATTAAGCCTTAGCATTTATCTTTTATCACTTATCGTTTATTTCTGGTCTCTAATCATTTTCCTCTTTTCATTTTTTGAGTTAGGGGCCGAAAGGGACTGAAAATGATGTGACCCCTCTTTTAAGGTTAGCTTTTTGCACTGAATAACATGGAATAATTTTTTGTTTTTTCAGGTCATTATTTTTTTACTTAACTGTCGAAACCTTCAAAAAAATAAAAACGGGGGGCTTATTTGGGGGTATCCCAGATGTCCAATCACCTATTACTTACCTTTCATGCTGGAACACTCTGTATATATATATATATAAATAAAATAATAAAGATTAATTATAAATATAATTTATACCCGTTATCGATAGGTTAGTCAATATTGTATAATTATCGCGTAACAGTATAAAATATAGTTTTAAGTCTCATAAGCGTACGTATGTGTTAATATTGAATTATGTGTTTAAGTGGCAAGGGAAAAAGGCAAGAAGGTTGACCAAAACAACATACAAGGTGTATAAATAATATTAATATTATAATATATTATATGTTAGCGTTGTTGAATTGTTACAATATAATATTTTAATAATATAATATTATTGTTAATATATATGTTTATGATTATGATGATATTGTTTAAACGAGAGCTGGGTTTGTTGGTCGAAGCACCAACTATCTGTAGACTAGACCTGTGCAATGATAGGTACCTAACAATGATAATACCTGTGTATCCGGTAAGTATGACCGAGAGTAGTTTGTTTATGATATATATTTACTATATTATTATAGTACCTAGCATAATAATTACTACAGTATTTATTAATTTAACTACATTTTCGATGTATATTAAAATAATTATATTACAAGATTATTACAATACTATAGCTTTGATTAGTTTTGTTTGTAAACGATTTCTGTTAACCATGCACAATTTTAAATTAAAAAAAAAAAAATGTTTTATTAACATTATCGTTTTGTTTTTGACTCACAGTCTTCTTATATACACAAATACACACAAGTATTGCTTAATATTATTATTATACTTCTTTTTTTTTTTTTTGTAAGCACTACGCCTGTCTCTATAAAGATAGTATAATATTATTTGCCTCGACGGATACAAATAATAATATGATATAGAAAAGAATATACAGCACACTCTTATGTATTATTATACAATAAGTTATTTGTTTATTAGTACAAGATATACATAATATATTATACTCTCTCTCTATATATATATATAAATATATTATTTAAATATGTTTTTAATTATTATTCACACACGCTTGAAGCACTAGTATTTAATTATATTTAACTAATATTATTGTTACTATTGATATTATTATTAGCATAAGTATATAATTATTTACACTAGGCGAATGTTTGCTTTTTCAATTTATCATGTTCTTTTGTAGTCTCCCAACATCCTATTCCTGGCCGGTAAGTCTCGCCGTCGTCATATCCACTTGGAGCTTGCATAACCCTTTTATCATGCTCACATAATATTATTATGTTTTCTTCATTCGTAATGTACATTTAGTTGTGTGTATTATTTAACCCTAAAACGTGCTGGATCCGTATCGTTACGACGATATTGACGGCAATACCGTAAGATTATTCCTGAAAACAAGAAAAATAAATTAATAATACCTTAAAGATGACACAAATGATAAAACCAATCGATTGTGGAACAAAAACAACATGTTTAGCGTTGTTGACAACTAACAAACCTGCTCATAGATTGTTGTTTGAAACCTGGAAAGAATTTGGTCCAATTCATGTGGATTAGATAGGCAATGATAAATACATCTAATAATAGAGCTACTAGGGACGATTGGTTGATAGGCGATGACCGATCGAATCCCCTGATAAGATATGGTGCGTTAAAAAGGTTAGGTCAGGTTAAGAGATCAGATTTATATAAGCGGAAGAATGAAAGCCGACTTGAGAGGATCATCACTTGTTTAGATTATATTTGCTGTTAAAGAAGGGTACTGCCCGATAGGTTGCCTGAAGGATTTCATGATAAGTTAAGGTTTATTGATATTGAAAAAATCAACTAGCGTGGAGAAATATAAAGATGGGAAATTAAGAAAAGAAGAGTTCAGGCAATATTTATTTTATTAAGTCCATAAAATAAAGCCCAATCTACCAGATTTTTACAAAAAAAAAAGCTAATAATAATTTATTGTGAAGAGTCAATGTCAGCTATCGGGTTGTTCATATCCTAACAGTTAATCGTTACTTTATTATAAATTAATAATATTCTTTTTTCGTTTTATACTCATTCAAATGGAAGCTGTAGCTAGTCGTTTTGACTAATTGAAACAGTTTTTCCACCAAAAAATAAGGTAAGTAAGTCGAAGAAGGAATCAAGAAAAACAACATCGAAAGATCTTTATACTTTAGAACTGATCGAGTTCATCTAAGACACTCGAGTTTTAAGGCATGACAATGTAGTGGCCATGACCTGAGGCGGTCGTTGAAAGCATTGATATGTTTTTGTTTTTTTTATTTCTTACTTAATGTTGAATTCTTTAACATGGATGTGTATGGCCACACAAAAGAAAAAAATCCAATCAAATAAGTTTTTACCCTTTTTCTTAAAACATTATTGTTTTTTTAAAGATACTGTTGTCATTGATATCTCATCACCAAGATTTGTATTGAACGGTATTTTTGTGTTATCTAGACAGACTGACTTTAGTCCTATCGTTTGCTTCAATGTTTTTCGTTGTAATGAAGAAGGCGCTTAGCTTGGGTTTTTTTTATATACTTGACTCCACCGTGTTTTGATTGTATACTTACAGGTCTATGTTTTGAATTTTCGAATTCGTACACGGGTTGGGCACTCTGACGTGACATTCCTTGTGACACTTGATCAAACAGTCCCGGCATTCGTACCCTTGTTTGCCGATTCGCCTGGGAAAATATTTTGCGCACACCAGACAAGCGAGTCGACTGAGTTCGTGAAAAATAAATAATCAAACGAGTGAATTAATAATAATGAAGCAACAGCTACAGGCTAAAGCAAGAGGGACCAAAAGTTACTCAGAACTTTGTTTCGATTCACCGACCCTCCCCAACCCCCTCCCCAAAAAAAACCAATGGAATATTTAAAATTCAATATTTTTATATTATTACAGATTATAAAAAACCAGACGGTGCACTCTTGGAATTGCTTAAAATGTTAACGAATCAAAGCACTCCTCAACTCAGAGTAACCATACAGATAGAAATACAATTATTTATGACAAATCAGAGTGTCAGAACTGCGCATCACTGAAATTATTGACTGCTATCATCAATAATTATAAATCTTTTTTGATAACATATTATATTTTCATTTTTAGAATGTGGGCAAACTTAATTGTGGAGGGTTTCAGTGCACCATCTGGTCTTATGTAATCTGTGTTATTATTCTATTTGTTTTGCTCTTTCGCTTATTCCGTCTTCTGGAAAATCAATTAGACGGACATACCACTAAACTATCGAACCATCGAACTATCGAACTATCGAACTTCAACCATCGAAGCTGCTGTTTTTTAATGACATTGAAATGGAGTTTTATATATACTACCCTCCCTCTCAATTAAAACCGTTAGTCCATCCGGCCTAATGTTGGCCCGAACGCTTTTGTATGATAATATTATTGTAATATTCATTAACGTTGTTCCTAACATATCCTACACGGTGGGAGTGCACCATGTGGAAAGCACAATTTGCAAGCGGTGTTCATAGCAGGTGCACATAACGATGGTTGTGTAGTTATATCGAGTGTTACAATATTCAAATAAAGTTTTGCCCGTTTAAATCATAAAACCGTGTAAAAATAGACGTTATATGGAACGTGAACGTCGTTTTTTTTTAAAATTATTTTTATATTCAAAACCAACAGGAATGATTACCAGGTACCTGAATGACCTACCTGGACAAGTGTTTGGCGACAAAGGTATGTTCGTTGTAGATGTGGAGCTTCACGCCGGCCCTCTTCCATTTCCTCTTGGTGGCCAACGTAAACGGTACCAAATAATATCTGTAAACAAATAAAATAATATATATATATATTATACATATTATGTATATAAGAGCCGTAACGCTTGTGTTCATAGATCAATATTCACTGAGCTTCACAACACCTGGTGATTGATAAGTCGAATGCACAGAAAAATTTGAATTTTAGGCTAATCGTTGAAGAAAAATTATATATTTTCATTCCTCACGGTTCGCGCTTAATGTTGGCCGAATAAGATGGCTTGATTAGGTAAAACTGAATTTTTATTTAAATATGTTTGGCAAAGTAAGTTACCCTAGCACTCCTCTCCACTCCTATAAATAAATCCTGTACGATTTTTAATGTGGTTATGGTTGATCAACTTATGCAAAAAAATAGCTTGATAGTGTACTGATTTAGAAAAAAAAACAAAATTGAGTTTCACTTAACAATATGTGAAATGAACTAATGAAGCAAAAACATAAAAAATATTCAAACGTTTTTGATAAACGGATAGGAGAATGCTTATCATCGTGAAAAATGAGGCTCGACTAAGTGTCCTTTTTAAATTTGGGTGTTTAAAAACGGATATATAATATTATGTATCAGATCCAGACTTATGGAGGGTCACGATGAATACTTATATTATCATAATAATGTAGTATATAAATACAAATATACTCGAATGATGCCCGACTGTGTACTGTGCGAAGGGGAGAAACCTTTTTCAAGTATAATACATTTTGTCATATTGCGGATTTATTACAGGTAGGCTATTATATTATGCTTGGCTTTACCGAGTACCTACTTAAAGTGGAAAAATTAGAAAATGGCACCACCGTTCGAGGAAAAAACGCCTCCGTAAAGTTTTCAAGTCATTAGCTTTAAAAACTAAAAAAAACACACACACACACTTTTACGGCTATTTCCCACGTTATTAATGGACGGCACGCACGAGACGGCGGTACAGGTACAAAAAAAAATAATAATATATTATGTGTGCCCATTGCCGGATCACCTGCGTTTGGTTCTATGAAGAAGAAAAAACTGACTAAACAAACAACGCCTTCGGTTCGGTTTCTTTTTGTTTTGCTCGTAAAATGATAGAAGAAAAACGACTCCGCCGAGATTAGCCAGTACAATTTATATCTATGTAGAAATATAGTAGTGGTCAAAACGCTAAAGGATACCCAAAAGGGCTCGAAGAAAACAGTCTAATACGACTTAAACGGTGCAGCAAAGGGCTTGGACATTAAACGTCCAGTTTAATGACCAATCGACTGTTTTGATCACTCCGCTAGATTACATCTTGTTTGCTTAATTTGTGTTTTCAGAAAAATGCAATCAGTCGATTTCACCAGCATTTGTTAAGTAATTAACTTATTGTTAATTAAATTCAACAATTATTAGTTAGTGAAAACGACGGTTAAGTTAATCAGTCGAAATAAGCTTGTTAAAAAGTTTACTAATTGAGATTTCGATATAAAATTGTAATATTATCACTTATCAGTTTTCACATTTCGTGATAACCAATGATAAAGTTGGAATCAACGTAACCACGTTGGTAACCTAACTAACATTGTGTTAACTTGACAAATGGTAGAATTTAATAATAATAATGTTACGATGAAACTTACTAATTAATTTAACCAGATGATAAATTTAAATGAATTGTTAACTACCATTATTTTAAGAGCGTAATTAATAGTAGTTGGCGAAACCGGCTGAATATCGTGTAACGACTTACATATTAAGACTAGGGTAAATAGTTATTGATAAGAGCATCAACAACTAACCGACTGTTAAACCATCTCAAAAAACTACAAAATAAAAAAACAGAACTATAAACGGTTTCGCATGAATAATATATTTTTCTCAAGCAATATTTGCTTTTCTCTCTAGACGTTACATGACCGTTCTTCGCTGTAATATCTACTTACTCGACTACTTTTTTTTTTTTTTAATGTACTCAACATACGTTGCATAATAGACAAAATGGGTACACTCGAGTAAGTCAAGTTTTTTTTTTTTAAAATTGTTTTTAATAACGATCTAGGTCAACGACGGACAGCCGCAGGCCTTAATGCCGTGAGATTGACTCACTCGAGTCAACGACCATTTCACTATACTAAAGCAACCCCTCAAAAGCCTAAAAATCTTAACTCGCATTCTTCCACCGGCGGCGCCTCGAGCATAAAGTACATTGGATGCATGCACGGTATAATTATTAAACATTACTTTTTCACATTGTTTTCCATCGTCTCCAGCACAAGCGTGGAAGCTTCGTTCAAGTATGTGCCCGTGGACGTGCCGCTGGCCCCGGACATTTCACTCAGGCTGGACCTAGCCGAACCGGCCCTGATGGGAGGAACCAACAAATCTGAAAAAAATACAAAAATTTAAATCAAAAGAGGAATGAGACAAAAACAAACTTTGTACATGGGTTAATTCTTCCATTGAAGGAAAGACATTGGGTCATGAATATGACTTGTATGGTACTTGGGAGCTGGAAGACGAATTTAAGACACGCTCAGCCGATAAGCGATCAGGAGAGGCCAGGGGTTTCCCCTCTGGATATCTTATCACTTATCACAATTAACAGATTCCCGGTCATAAGATATATTATACATGTTAAAAAGGAATTAGATAAATTAAACATAATATATCGAGGGCTTGTATTTAAAAGGTTCAATGTGTGAATATGTAATTTTCAGGCGAGTTAATTTAAAGTGCGTTCGAATATTTTTCGGCTCAGAACGATACACGGTTTTGACGTAAAAAATATCAAATAACTAAAAATCTAAAACTATATCAGAAGTTATAACTCAACAGTTAATCAAGAAAATGGTAATTAAATAATATTAATTATCTCAAACGTGGAATTAAACTATAAAGTTCTTGTCAGGCCGTGTAATGATTTAAACGCAACGGTCATATTTGATCAAACAACAAAATACAATTTTTTAGAATTTCTAATAATTAAAAAATGCTGAATAAATAGTATTATAGTTTAAATCAATATATTACAGGGACAATCTACTACGCTGTTGAATAAAAACGTTTTTAATATAACATTATTTCCTCTGACTAAAAAAAAAACGAAGAATTATTAAATTAGCATATTTTAATGATTCTCTGGAAATTCAATCAGAACGCGTTTGACTGTAAAACGCAACAAATCAAGTCAAGTAGTATATAATTTATTAATCAGCAAAACCCTGGCGTTGTACTAAATTTAATATTCAAATTTGTATCGTAGCGTATTTCAAATTAAATTATTTGCCGGTAGTTTTATGCATTGCATGAACGAGTTAATAATTTAATAAAATATAACAACAAATGGCTTAGGATGAACTGGAAACTGTCTACCTTAAGTTTAAGAACGTTTACATAAATAATATTGAGCGATGTCGACTTGGTTGAAAGTTTGATTAGCTATTTTAAAAACCAAAGAAAAATAAACAATTTGTAACAATAAAGATTATTATCGTTAATTTTTTTTTGAGTTTTTAAAAAATAAATGTTTTCTCGTTAGTTAAAACTAATTATGTGTTTATAATGTTTATATTTTCTACTCAAGTAGGTAGCTGTTAATATATGATAATCAACGATGAAAAAGTTCCAAGGAATGCCTCCAACTTAACAAACTAATAATAAACCTATTCTGGCCCAACAACCCACAAAATCTATCTATTTATCATCTTTGACCAGTGCCTTACTTGGGCTCACTACACTAAGTTTAAACGCAAACAGAGTAATTCCCATGTTTATTTGCCATTAAACCTACCCGTAAACAAAAGTTATTGCTTAACTATGAAGTCCTAACTTACAAACATATTATTAGACCCTCAATATTAACAAACCGAAAGTCGTCTGTCAGGGGAAAAAAAATATAAAATACCGTTCCATTCGGATTCCACTCGTTTGGAATACCTACCATTTTCCCGCCATATTAAAGTCTATTTGCACTGAAAGGTATGTGACGGCAAAGGCGATGATGATAATACATTAATATTGTCAGCACCGATGAGTTATAACATGTTGGCCCGAAATTCGAACAGGAATACAACAAAAGAATTCGGCAAGTTTGAAAAATAGAATGTTATAAATAAGAAAAATGTATAATAGATACAGTACATAATGTTTTGTCTACATATTTATTTGGGATTAAAAACATATTATGTTCCAATTTGAAAAAATGAAATCCATACTTCTTTTACGTACAAGGGATAAAGGTTCACGTTTTTCTAAGTATAATAAAATATTCGTACCTGCAACTAGTATAGTAAAAAAGTAATTTTCAAATTCTTACATCACGTGGATCACCCTGTATATTGTGACGTTGTACCGGCTGATCCAATTAAGGTAAGACACTCAATACGTCTTAATAATATAATTGCACATTTTTTATAAAAATGTTTGTTTGAACTTTGTTTTTTAAGTGTATGTTATTTTCCAATATTATAAAATTGCCAAATATTTACCTTTGTGGTATTTCCCAGAGCGCTGTCGACTTTTGAAAACGTCCGAAACTATAGTACGTTAAATTTAATATTTTTGAAACCTTTTTTGTTGACCAGTCCAAGTAGTTTTCGGCAAATTATTTTTCATTCGATAAATTAATTAAATATATCTGCATTACGCTTTCCTATGCAAATAAAGGATAACAGCTACAGAGAATATAATACCTAATTATAAATAAACAGCGCAGTACTTTTTCCCGTGAGCCTCAATACCGTTCACAGGATTTATTATGTTATTCGGTTAATCAGTAATATAACAACGTCCTCGGGGGATATTCGGTCGAGGTTTACAAGTTTATCGCTTACCATACATCTAAGACTTTTGTACTGAACATGTACAGGTATACGCGTTAATACACTTTTGCACCATTCACACATTCGAATATAACTCCAGAAATAAAGTACATCTATAGTGAAAATACGTCCAAGATTTAATTACAATAGTTTTTGGGTTCAACCCCAATACCGTTCAGTCGAGCAAGTATAATTTGAATAAACCATCCGCAACGTACCGTTATGTGTCCTACCTGCTTGCAGTTGATGCAGTTTAGGTGTTTATTTGCCAAGTATATATTATGTACATTTTTTTTTTCATACTACCTTAGAACGAGTGAGAGAGAGAGAGAGAGAGAGAGATGGAAACAAAAACATTATTCTTGTGTTGTGTCGGTAGTCGTCGAGAGCATATCAATTTTAACCGAGAGATGTGTACACCGGATACGTGCGGTTGTCGGCTTTCGAGTCTGATTTATTTTTCCGCCGTACAATATATATATATTATACTGTTAATAATGGGGTTAACGGCAAAAGTGCGCATATATCTGCATTTGTATAAAACAGCAACACAACTTGAAGTACCGACGGTTGCTGCAGCGTGTGTGTATGTAGTTTTTTTTTTTGCGATAATGTAACACCGGTAGAAAAACCAATAAAACCCCATTTGAGTCGAATACAAAAAAAAACAACCCCAACAAATTGCATTAGTGTTTATCACGTTTTAACCTACCGACACACTACATAGTATTATTATAACAAATTACTTTGTACAACGCGATAGACACTAGGTGGTGTACATTGTACGTGACCGTGCAAAATTGTGCTTACCAAGTAAACATTCGCATATTACAATATTATATGTACGGTGAAATATCGATTCCAACAATTATTATTATAGAACTCTACGTCTTGTAAGACTGAACAAAGCTGACTAACTTATGTTCAAAGTCGTTCAAGTAGTACAGTAGTTTATGGGGAATTAAAAAAAAAAATGTTGCATTATGTGAAACGTATTGCATTAATCTCTCTGAGCTCATAATGGAAGCATCTTATTTTACCTTGCCCTAAAGAAGTAAATATTAGGAGGCAGGACATTTTGGATGTCATTATCGAATACTTAATAAATAGCTCTGCCAACCTGTGCGTACTATTATTTTCTGGAATTTCGAACAGCTTTCATGTTGAGTAATTTTGGGCTAAATTAAAATTATAATAGCACCTTGCTTTTGTGTGTGCTTACTTAAAATGATCATCCGTCAAGATGAGAATTAACGAGTTAAAACGTGTTAGAGCATTCATGGACTGAAATATTCTATGATATTAAAAATATTAACTAACCGTATTAGGATAAACGAAATAAGTTGCACATAAAGCAGTTTTTTTTTAGTTCCCCTTTACTTTTGTGTAAAATTTCAACAAGAGATAATATTTTAAGAAATGCTTAAGAAACTATAAACAGATAAATTATAGTAACAAAAACTACTGCACTACTTGAACATAAAGGCAGTACAGACATTGAAAAACAATAATAAATTGTTGTGAATGTAAAGAACAACTAAAAAAAGGAAGAAAAGTCTATTATTGCAAAAATCAATCACAATAGTAAATTTAAAAAAAAAACTGACACTGACGCCATTTCAACAAATATAGGAATATACTATCGGTTTAGCGTTTAAATGTTTATAGCTAAGAGTATTTTTTTTTTGTAGGCTAGAGAAAAAAACCCAGATCACAAGACAGAATGTCAGCTTTGCGAATTTTGGGTTTATTTTGACAACGGAATGTATCTGCTATTAGCTTTTTCTGTCAACTGTCAACGTTAAGTATAAAACGAAAAAAACAAATAAATACCTTTTCGACTTTGAATCGAAAAAAAGGTCGAGGCCGAATACGTTACTAATATATTTCCCGGTAAAAGAACCCATCTAATAATTATGGAGTTGTGTTTAGGTTATATTCTGCATGAGTGTATAAAAAAAAAAGGTATCCCGTAAACTGTCAAATAAAAACCTTTTCCCGGAGGCCTTTCGGGTGAATGTTAAATTAAATAAAATAAAAGCAATAGTTTCGCGGATTAAATTAACTTTGACAAATTTAATTAAATATCCAATATTAGCCTTTCGACTACCTAAATTCAAGCTAGTTAAGTTATTCGTTTGGTTTTTTTTTTATTGTAATTAATTGATTTAATAAACACATAGCATTAACATACATGCAATAAGCACTATAAGCGTCGATTTCGATTTGCTAGGAAAACTGAGAGATGCAGAGAGAGAGAGAGAGTACTTAGGATGAGATGCACAAACCGTATAATACCTCAAAACTTATACCGGTTAAAACGAAATGCGATCACACTGATCATTAGCCCTTCACGACGGGTACTTGACACTGGCTTGGCGGGCCTCTTATTTACATATTGTTATTGTACTTAATTTAAAGGGTGAATTGAAGTCAGAATGGAATAATACATATTATTATATGTTGTGTACATAATACACAACGTGCGTTTGATGATACTCGAATTGCAATTATTATTGTAATACTCCAGTTCTCTTTGCATTCAAGTATATTTGCCATTCGTTAATCGTTGAAAACGCAAATAATACAAGCCGTTCAACCGAAAAACAAAACGACTATAACTCGGTTTCGTTTACTATTTAAATTAATTTATAATCATTTTACCACTCAATGTACAAATTTTTTAATATCATAACGTTAATGTTAGTCTGATGTTTTGAAAGTAGGCATATTTAGTAGTACCATTTAAGAACCGTATTGCAATAATTTCTCTTAAAAATATATTCTTATAGCCTACTAAAAACACGTTATGAAAATGTACTCAAAACTAAGGTAATTATATTATGCTATATTTTTACTGTAATATATCTAGTATATCGTGGCCACGTGGGAATTACTGGCTGTTATTAGGTGAGATTAGGTGTATCTTATGAGGGAAAACCCTCAATTATGCCGCACCATTTGGCGTTTAAGATGTTCCTGGAGATTATGACTGCCGGGGATTCAAATATTAGACTACGCCAACGGTTTAAGAAATGTTCGTCGATTAAGAAAACAAAGACCGGAAGCGTGTATAAAATACCCGAGAGGCGGAAATTGTGGCGCTCATCGATCAAACAATTAATTTCAATGCAAATTTGTCGGCACATTAATTATTATTACTCCAAACGACCTTGTGCCTACCCAATGAGACGATAATGAAATATAGCAGGGGAGAGCAGGGTCGGTTGTTACAGGGGCAAGTTGGTGTATGGTAGAGATAAATGTATATTAGCACGATAGATGATGTGTTTTTATTTTTATATTTATGTGTCTGTGCCCATGATATCTTTTAAGCCACTCAACCGATTTGTTCGTGTAGCAGATCTTAATATTAAAAATCGTACCTGTAAGGTACTTTATTAGATCAAAAACTTGAAAAGTTCATTCCTTCCTCATCAAAATACAAATTTGTATTATAAAAATTTGCGAACAAAATGTAATAATTCACCCCACATCGGGGCAAGTTGTTACATTTTGACATGGTGAAGTGAAACATTTTTTTTTTGTTATTATGTGCATTTATTTTTATTCTTAAATGTAGCTAAGAAGTTACTTTTTAAAATGTACTAACATTCATTCGAAAAAAAAGTAAGGAAAACTTAATAGGTATACACATTTCAAAATTATAACAACTAACTCTCCCCTAAATTTTACTGTAACGTTGTCCATAATATTATGATGACAAACCATGCTTTTTTTAAAACTAATATATTTTAGCAAAACAACAAAAACTAATACAGGTTTGTCTTGTTATTAATATGTAATCGGCCGAAAAGCGACGCAAAGCCATTGTTTTAAAAAGCACATTTTACCAGAGGGCTTACAAAGACAGTATTATGTTCATATTTTATAATATTAAAAAGTAAGTTGAACAATGTTTACTTATGTATCAAAAATTATATTTTAATATGCACACATAATGCTCATTTCTTTTTAATATTTAATAAATATTAAATGGTAAATACTTGTACGGATGGTACATGTACTTTAGCATAAGCAAACGTCGAAATACAATAAACAAAATATTTCGAAGAATAAACTGTTAAAATAAATGGTTATTTGTTTGTAATCATAATTGAAGGGGTGAGTTTAAAGGAGTTAACTGATACTTTCAAAACTGTTCAAGAGACAACATTTTTTTAATTTTTAAGTTCAACACACATATTTTATGCTAATTTTCAGGCCTTAGTACAAATATAGTGTTACACGAACGTTATGATAATAATATCATATTGTAACGTTTCAGATAGGCTTTTAGAACGGTTTCCGTTGGTGTGAAACGTTAACGGGGGTAAAGGACGACGGGGCTTGCTAATGTAATTTACTGCTAACAGCAATAATAATTAACATAGCGGTTAACTTATCGTTTACCTCTAACGATGATACAATTAATATAGCAAACAAATGTGAGATAATATTGTATTTTGCGCAGATCATTCTTGCTTTGGCCGGCTATAAGCAACGTAATCGACTGTATCCACCTAACTTGTTCTATTAGACATCATTAGAGTAAATACTGATGAACAATATTATATACTCCTAGACAAACGCAAATACCTACCTATATTATGTAATACAATGATTTTTAACGACAAGCCAGCGCCCTGTTCGGTATTTACGACCACTGGCGACGGTATATTTTATTCGATATACTTCGCCCATCTACACTGACTTTGCGTTTCCCTATCACAGTTCACAGTTGCTCCAGGACAGGCGAATTTCGTGCACGCCATTAGCTAATAAAAAATGCAACGGCGCCTATTAAAAAACGGCTTACCTGCTGACGGCGAGTGTCTTGTGCCGTCGGCGGATATCGACCGCGCCTGGCCCGGCGACATGCCGTATCTGAAGGCGTCCTGGTCGCCGGCATCGATCGACTTGGATCTGAATTTGGATCTATTGAAACGGGTCCTCATGGCGCCGAAGAAGTCCCTCTTTTTCTTCCTGCTCCGGCCGCGGTCTGCGGGCGAAAAAAAAACTCATAATATGGTAAAAATCAGAAGTCTTCAGCAGTTGTAAAAAAAAAACCACGAATTCCCACGAACCAAAACGATTGGATAACGAATAATACTATCTCTTATTAAGGTATCTATAAGAAGGAACTTATTATAATAACCGACAAACCCTGTCACTTCTCATATGTACTAACGGTAATGTTCATTTTGCTCTTCCCCTCGCTTAGCACTAAATTCTCTTATCAATAATCTCCTATATTCTCTTCCCCTCTCCACTCTTCTCTTGATGTCGCAGCTCCAGGTTAGGTTGGATGTCGGTTAGATCAAACTCGTGACGATAAAATTTAGATTAAGGTCAAACGAAAGTGATGACAGTGACAAAAGTTTTAATAAAAATAAAGTTTGACTACAAAAAGTGAGGAGGCTTAAGCACCGAAAATACTATTAATTCCCAAATCCCATGTAAATGAATATAAGAAACCTAATAACTATTCAAGATAAGCACACCCAAGCCACCTTTTAATTGCGACTATGGTTATTAGGTCACGTGACGGATTTACCTTTAGTGTAATTTTTATTTAGATATTAAGCCTTAAAACTACATCTAAAAATTAATACTTGACAGCTATTTGAAAATTGTTTTTCATAATAACATGTTTAGGCGAAACAGAAAAAAGTACCATTTTAAATAATTATTTTAGAGATAAAGCACATACAATAAAAAACATAAAAGACAAGATTTCCAAGGGAGCCTCATATGGGTTTTGCTTGAACTCTATATTATAAAGTAGTGGCCCATAAGATTAATGCAAAAATACATTTTTTTTTTACATTTTTTATAATCTTAATTAGCTTTTTTTCCGATTGATATTTTGAGCAACGCACATGAGGTTCCTTCGGAAATCTTGTCCCCTATATTTTTTATACTAGAAAAATACACAGTGCCAAGTCTTGGAGAATAATGCAGTATACAACGGAGATACTGCATATTTTCTTAGTAAACTGATTTCCCAATTCATATACTTTGCATTTATCTAGCGATCTTAGTAAAAACGGCCTTGCCATATAGATGACACGTGAGACTTGTGCAAAACAAAACTTACAAAAATATTTAAGATGTGGCAATAATGAATGCAAAAAAAAATAAATAAATAAAAGTAACAACTTCAAGGTGAAAACAAATAAATTGGAAAACTCGTTTTCCCAACGATTTGGTTTCACTGCATGTTTCCTGTTTAGAAACTTTTTTTGTCAGCTCTGAATATCTTCGATTGTGTTTCTTAATGAATTGAATTGTCGCTTTCGAATAAGTAAACAACGAAAAAAAAAAATTTTAAATTATGCACACCCCACGGAATGGCTCTGTCCGCGTCGAGTTTGATTTTTAATTAAAAAATTTAATATTCCGCTTCGGTGTCGTTAAAAATAATTTCGTCTTGGTCATAATTATACGTTTTGGGAGACGGCGATTCGTTTTGAATTTTAAGAACATGTCATAAATCAACAGCGGAAATTATAAAAAAAAAAAGAAAAACTCATCGCCGAAACGGTACGCCATCGTTGCCTTGTTGTTGTTGGCATAATAATAAACCTGGGAAATAGGTGAATAAAAAAGTTATTATTAATTTTTTTTTTTTAGACGTTCTTTAGTGAAATATTGAACAAGTGTAAGATCAGCTGAGTTGGGCGTTATTTAAATAAAAATTGATTATTCATATAACCGTGCAAATAACGATTAAATTAACAGCTTTTATCATTTAGTGTATATACAGGGTGGTCGCATTTTATCGTGTATTTCAGTGTACGTTGTACTTACAAACAAGAAAATCCAGTTCAGGTCAATTTGAGTCTTAGCCTCAAAGAATGCACCTAACTCCAAATAAGCAATACACCTATCCCAATTGAAAATTCAACAAAATGCCTAGGTATCATCCTCGACAAGCGTCTTACCAGCAAATTCCCAACTGCATTTGCTTAAACCTATCCTAAAATCTAAATTAAGCCTTAACCTTAGAGTTGTAGTTTATAAATCTATGACTAGACCCGTATGGTTTTACGGTATTTAAATTTGGAGTCTTGCCAAATCTTTCAACATTCGTTCCCTTCGAGCCTTCCAATCGATCAGTTTGAGACTCTTAAGCGGTGCACCGCGGTATATCACTAACAACTCCCTCCACATAGACCTTCAATTACCTACAGTGGCACAAGTTTTATTTACATTTTCCAAAAAAATAGCAAGTTTAGACTTATCCCGCTTTAACCCAACCCCACCGAGCTATACTTAATTAACAATAAGAGTCATTTACTCTTAAACGTCTCCAACGCAAAAATAAAATACAACAATTAAATATTTTTTTTTAAATAAATAACATAAATATTAAAACCTTAAATAAGATTTGATGTGATTTAAATTTAAAAAAAATACTATTCCCGCGTGAAACTCGAGGGTGATGCGCCGTGCTTGGCAATTTGGGAACCCATTGATGCTGCATAGAAGAAATGCAAAATGAATGTTCTGGGGAAAGTTCTTCCTCAAAAATAACTAACTATCTTCTACATTATATTTGTAACTTTAATATTTTTATATCTATTTGTGCGTTTAGTCAATTATTAAGTCATACTTATAATTTATCTAAACATTTTGATATATTGATATCCGATGTAGCTTCTGTGTTCCATACCGTATGTTGATTTAAATCAAATGAAATAAAGTTGAATTTTAAGAAAACGATTTAAATGGGCCAAACGACATTACAAAAGAAGAACAGTATGAGATTTGGCAAGCTAAATGGAAAAATATCTGTGAAAACTAAATGCCAGCAACCGCCGTAGGAGCTTTAAATGCAATACTATAATACTTTAGTTATTGATCTTTATAGACCATTTACTGGTACACACATTAAGTAATTGTTTTATTATTCGATTGTTCGCGGCAGAACGAGCAACGATTACTTGTTCCTTAAGTGTAGCCGGTCCATCATAATTGATTATTAAACGGAATATAATAAACTTTGTTAGAAATCTACCTCAGTGGCCAGAGTAAGGGAAAAGGGCAGTCCGTGTATTAATTTTACCTTTCAACTCGATTGGTTAACGAGGGGAAAAAAGTGGTGTACATCTGCTGATTAGACCATGATAGGCTGATTAAGCCGATTTTACTTTGATGCTATTTAAACCCTTAACCCCGCTTAAGGTATTATATCCATGGTCCAATAGACGGTTATATATTTTTTTTCTAATTATCTCTGCAAGTACTTTTCTATTTAACCGAACCGCGCGTTTGATTTAAATTCATCGCGACAACTTAATTGGTTTTTTTTTTGTCTTAGCATTAAGAAAAAAAAACCACTCAAGTCAACCTGTCCCTTTCCGTCGGTTTCCTTCAAACCGTAATTTGCAGCCATTGGAGACGGATAATTTATACATAGACCGCTAGGTTTGACGTATAAAGTCTATTGACTTTGGCCTAAGTTTAATGAGGTAAGTAATTAAAATTTCGTTCGGTGGCGATTGAATGATAAAGAAATAAAAAAATTTATGTAAATAAATCGGATAACTAAACAACATAGTCTTGACTTGAAAATTCAAATTAAATTTATTTTATTAAGTATTACTTAAACTGTGGTACCAAAGAAATCTATACTCAAGGCAGACAAACAGATATCATGATATTTATCTAGCTGATTTAAGTTCAATTGATCTAGAGTTAAGTTAACCGAAAAAAAACTAATTTAAGTTATAAAATTAGTAAAAATATATGGCAAAAAATGTTAGGTACACAAAATTTGTTTGTATAATTTTTTTTTTAACTACTTTTTGTCGCTAAATATAAAATAATAATGTAGACTGTAGTTATACATAATTGTAAAAGTTTATAAATATGAGTGGTTAAATTTTAGTGTAAAAATAACTACTGTAATGACGACTGCAATGTCTTTGAAACAATAATTAATAATTTTTAGGCGGGGGAGAGAGTCAGCTAAATTTGATTCACACGTGTACCGACTGTTTTACCACATACCCTCAGTTTTTTAATACTAAAAACTCCAAAAATACATTTTATTTAAAACTAGTAACCGAAATTATCAAAACACCTCTAATGGGAGTGTCAAAACATGTTCAAATTTTCCGGCTTTAAGTTGTTCAATAATTGTTTCACTGTTTGTTTAAAATATTATATTACATATTTCGGTTTTAATTAAAAAAAAAAAAAACACTTAAGGTTTTCGTATGTGTTTATATATTGAAACATAAATTTGTAAATTATAATTATGAATGTTTTTTTAACCCAAAATATAGCTTGATGATATTTTATATCAAGTTAATTTATCTCAATAAAGATGAAGTACGGTGTAAGGCAGTTTGGGATTCGACCATAGATTTTCGTTTACTCTCGCTTTGGCCGGACCTAGATCATATTTTATTTGTAGCTCTACACTACTCACTAACAAAAAAAAAAATAAAAAAACCATAGTAATAACGCGATAAAGGATTTTTTTTTTTTTTAGTGTTGTTTGCGACCAAAAATAATTTTAGTACCCGCCACGCTGAACTGACCCTGTTTCGATGTTTAGCAAAATTTAACAAAAATGAACAATTAAAAACTATCATCGTTGATTACATTTTAATCACATAAAAGCGTTCAAACAAAACAAAAAATGTTAATATTGCAGGTGATTTATTTGAGCAAATGATATTATTATTCTGATTATTACTATTGCAATTATTTGATCGACCAGCTATCGTGGCCTAGTACATTAACAGCTTATTAACAATGCATTTTTTATGGTGGTAATTACACAGGTTAAAATCGACAATTTTGAGTCAGACAAATCTTCTTAGAAGGGGTGGAATCTATTTCATTTATTCCACTTTCTCAGGCGAAGTCATTAAGCTTAAGGCCTGAAAATCATACAGACCCGTGACCACCCCGTCTCGAATATGCTTCGTCCCTACAATGTTCAACTAAACTGTTATCTAAATAAAACATTATTTGAGTTAAAACTTATAAAACTCGGTTGAAATCATTTTATACTTGCAATGTAAATTTGTTCACTTAAAAATGTATTTGAAATTCTTACTTAAATTTTTATTCAAATAATATTATGTAAACGTTATTAATTTATTATTAGTTTTTAAACTTTTTATTTTAAACGAACGTTTTTTTTAATAATTCAATAATGTAAGCAAGAGTGATAAACTGATTTAAAAACTTAACAATAATATACTTACTATTTATTTAAATAAATATACAAAACGCGATAATTTAACTTTTGTCCACGCATTAAACCCCACAGCGACTGCTTTGTATTCCATCGATAATTCATTGACAGGTGAAACTTCAATGGAATTAATCATTCATCTTCTCATTTTTCAAATGGTGTCGGCCTACCCCAAATATCACTACCCACGGTTTTCCCGTCTGTCGACTGTATTCCCAGTGTTTCTGATTTAAAAGCCATACATTTAAATTATTTCTTTAATCGTGACCGTGTCGAGACAGGGCCGAAAGGACAAAAGGGACAAACGCCCCCGAATCACTTAATTTTTCTTATAATGGTGTTATTAAATTTCCTTTCATCTCGCTTGTTCATTTCAAATGATATGACATTTCCTTATGTTATAGATGTACATGATGTACGATTGCGTCAATACAGATGTAACCCTTCGTACCGGATATATTTTCAAGCCAAATCAAGTTGGTCACACTGTTTTACTTGTGAGGGGAATCGGCTGTTGGGCTCACGTTTATGATGAAGTAAATTATGAAAATGTTAACTTCAATTAAATATATTTATACATAACAAACTAGATTACTAAGTGTTCATGCTCCCAAAAGAGATAATTGAAGTTACTATTTTCCGCCATCTCTGTGGGAATTAGAATCTTATCACATGAAAATATGCTTATAACAATTATAGGTTAAGTTGATAACGCAAAATCACAGATATATAAATACATTATTTTATTTATACACACAAAAATCCCATAAAAATGGCGGACGTCCACTTCCATTCTTATCACTAGTTAGCAATCCAGTTTATTATATTACATATAATGGAAAATCATATATATATATATATATATATGAAATCAATAAATAACCCACTAATTGATAACACGGTCTCGGTGTTGTCGAATGGTAATTGAAATTGATTTCTTTGCCAACCGATGAAAATGACAAAAATTGAGATATGAGGTGTCACCGGAAACGTAGTGTGTTCGGACGAAAATATTTCCCACTTTTATTTTTACATTCCTTAATACCTATGTATATTAAGTACACACATACACGCGTTGCTTATATTTTTCTTTTTGGTTTTCCGTCTCCGGCAAAAGTGTTGCGATTGGCAGCTTTTCAAACGGCAGCTTGTTACGTTTTTTTGGCCTCCATCCAGCAGTGCACAGGCCGCCGTTTAAATTGGTTTCGGAGAGAGTTTATAATAAATGCTTTTCGGTAAACCTACTATAAATACATATAGTATAATATACATTATAAACTATATATATATATATATATATATATGTGTGCTCAGTGACCGCAGTCGTTTGTGTCACCGAACAAATCCCGTCTTAAAACAATTATGTATAGGTATACGACCCAAGCGCGGACCGTCCGATCAACCGTTTTGAACACGAAATCGTATAAAAACAATTAATTTGAAATCCAATTTATTAAAGACCTATCGCAGACGGTGCATTTAAATTGAAAACGTTTAAAATCGTTTTTAAATTATAAGAAATGACACCTCCTACCGCCCACACGTAAAAAAACACAGCACAGTTATTATCATTAAATATAATTTATTTAAAAAGTCAGCCTTTACCTTTAATGGAAATTGGATCATTAACGTGACGTCTTATGATTAACTGATTTGCTGTCTATTAAAAATTATTGAGAAATTATCTATTAACTCGCTTATTAACATCGCCCTTTCCATCTCATCTGAACAGACCTTAAGCCATAAGACGTGTTGTTTCATTTCCTTATTTTTTCAGATTTTTAAAATGATTTTTAAAGGCTGCAAGCATCAGTTTTCCAAAACAAAAATTGTTTGTTTTTTAGTTTTCAACTATTTCAAGGTATAAACATTAATTTAAAATAAATAATTTGTATAAAACTACGTACGTATTTAATGGACTAGTTTAAGTTCTACATTAAGTCAATTTTATTTTACATAAACTAAATTTTATTGAGCATACTTTTAGATTACAATTTCTGATGCAAAAATTATGTTTTTCCATGAAATTTATTTCTGAGAAATGTTTTTACATTTTCATGACATATTTTATACCGATGAAAAAAAAATGTTTATCACGCTAAAAAAATAAGCCATCTACAATAGAGTGAAAACGAAAATAGTTTCCCAAAGTATAAATATTAATTTTAAATAGATGTAATTTGTATAAAAATCATCAGTAGAAAAGGAAGAATAAACAAGTATTTTTTTTTTTATAAAAATAACTACTATTCAAATATTCATTTTTTTTAAACACTTTTTTTTTTTACTTATGTGGATCTATAGTATAGCCATCGGGGGGTCTGTATATTCCTCAGATATAACGACTATTCAAGCCTTTCAAAACATTTGCCTGTGTATGATTACCACTACATTTTGATTGGGTGCAAATTAATTATTAAAACGTGACCTTAATATCCAAGCAGTAAATGAAACCACTGAAATGTATTGTAACCGCTTGTTCTCAAAACTAAGCTCCAAGACTCATTACATCAGTTAACCTTCTTGGAAACCTGTCCAGACGTCTTCAATGAAAATGGTTCCGAGACCTAAGATATTAGTTTATTAAAAGTTCATTTCATGGCGTTATTCTGGGTGTTTCTATTGTGAGATTTCCTATCATGCCACTCACTGATAGTTTATATTTCCCACTATTAATTAACTTATTGCAAATTCTTTTGTATGGTTTGTAAAACAGTACAAATAAATCCATTTGTATTATAAAAAAAAAAAGCTAGTACAGTGGGGTTGGGGCATATTGGGGATGGAGAGGTCACAGATCAAAATCACTTTTAAAAAAATACTTCAATGCGAATCTGTGGGTAGTATGTGTAAACCACACATAACAACATAAAAACTGACTACGGTGGTCAAAGTGTAATTTTCCCCTAATTTTTTTTTATTTACTCTAAGGCAGATTTTAAATAATTTTTAACGAATGATGTTTGTACTCGGTAACTTGACTAAACCATTGGAATTAAATTCTCATAAAATATTGAAATTATGGTAAGTAAAACCGGTAGTTAATATAATTTAAAAAGAAAATCATTTTCCGTAGGTTTCGAAAAAAAAACATTAAAAAAAAAAAAAAATTGCAGTTGTTTAATGGGAAAACGAAGGCGGTCTAAAAAAAATAATACATAAGTACACCCTTCTCCTCGTTCTTGGCCTTATATTTTCTGTTCAACACTCGAGACGACTATCAATTTGATAATGTATTTTTAAACGTTGAAATACAATACTCGACCATTAAGAGTCATTATAATAACATTTGTATTGTACTATAATAATACTTTTACAAATGCATTTGCCTAATAACAGCCATACGTTCTTACCTTTTGCACTTTGCGTGATTAATAACATTACGGCAGTAATTGGGGTACTATTTATTATTATGCATTAAGGTAACAAGATAATAATATGTTTTTCAGCGTTTCATCACAAATACCACCACCCTGTACACAGTATACCACTCGACACTAAGTTATACTCATAGTATAATAACGCCTACGTCAGGTCATAATGATATTAATACATTGGCAATGCTACATCGTCAAAACAACTAACGTTATTGATTGAACTGCGTTGTTTAGAATAGGCGACAGAAAGATGCATGACAACAGTTTAAGAATAGTGTTAACGCGCTAGGAACAGGCTACACAACAAGACGGTCTCCGATTTCCCTAAAGAATTAGAGTTATGCTTTTTAAGTACAAAACTTGATATCTCGTTGAAAAAGTTCTGACTAGCGTACTTGATCATTTTCAAAAGTTTAATTTCAAAGTAATTGTTTCTATCCTGTTTTTCTCTCGGAGGAAGACATTTTTGGTCATGAACAATATGTCTTACAATACTTGGAGGCCGGAAGACAAGCGTAAGACGCATTCATGTCGAAAACTTATTATTCTATTAATTGTAATATTAAACAAACTTTCATATCGCTTCAAGTATGTTAGCTATGAGAGGAGGGGACAGGGGAAGTGGATCAGGTGATGAGAGATCATAGGTTTCCTACTCCATACTCTAGTTGCAAAAGTGTTTATCAACAATTATTCGCCAGTGATATCAAATTATCACAATACATCTGGATAATCTGCATATCAGTCCTATCCCTAGTGTCAGGTAGTGTCTGGCACATATTGATGTTATACTTATCGCCGTGTTGACTACCAAGTGATCATGTCAAAAATTACCTTCTTGGACGCCTTCGTAGCCGGTATCCCGCCTGTCCACGCTTATGCCCGTGCTCGATTCCCTGTGCTGCTGAGGGCTGTTGTAGTAACTACTGGTCAGATTTGGCTCTTGTGGGGGGTTCCTGTTGTTGTTTTCGGTTGGCTGAGCAAACACAACTCGATTAGAGTCATTATGGAAGCAAAGGGCAAAGAGCGTAATGGACTTACTGTGTAGTCTTTGTGGTTGAATATCGTGTTGATGTTGTAAGACGTGTGCCTGCTTTTGTTGCCGTCGTCTTGATGGGACAACGGACGGGTTTGGTTTATGGGCATGCTAAACGGTTCTGAAACGACAACGTCCAAAAAAGGTTCACCGATTAGCTATGATGTAATTTAATTAAGCAATGCAAAGTGTAATGATCAAATATGTTGAGTGGACATCAAGTCGAATTCGATACGTGGGCTAGGTAAGATTGAAACAGCCACGACAGCATATTTCTATAGGATGTGGAAGTTTGAGACAATATATTCTTTGCCTTTGGATTAATAAAATCAAGAGATAATATTGTGTTGCATCTTTTGTGCGCTGATTTAAAAAAAAAATTACATTAGTTTTAGAGTTGCTGCATATCTTAAATTTGTAGATTTAACTTGTCATCAGTCAAAATTCGCCACTCTAAATAATTAAATTTCTTCTTCGTATTTAACTTATTCCTATCAAAACTAATGTACGTGGCTTTTATCACTTTGTTTGATGAAGTTATAAGTATGAGAAATTGAGTGGTAAACGATTAGTCATTTACACGAGTCGCTTAAGTATTTTAGATTATTTCAATGTCACAATATTCATTACTATTGGGATAGTCTCTGTGAAAAGTCCAATACTGACCATTTTAAAAATGATCCAAAGACATTTATTGTTCGGAAACGTAAAGTAAAAATGGCCGTAATGTAATTGTTTTAAATTAAAACGGCTATTCTTGAACTTATTGTATAAAATTGAATATCGCACAAATAATTTAAAAAAAAAGATTTATAATTTTTTTATAAAAAAAAAACTGTGTAATGTGTTAACCGCTCTGCGCTCACCTTCCATGTAGTGGTCGTTATAGACGGAAGGTCGTTCTCTAGAAAAGTCTGAAGTCGTCGTGTCCTTGGACAGAGTCTGTTCGTCTTCCAAAAAGATAAACTGAAACCGTGTACACGTTAGGTAAGTAGTGAACATGATATTTTTGAAAATCGAAATGAGTACCCATTAGGTAGTACAACATAATACTAATACATGTTTTGGTAATAACATAACATTATTATTACAACCATTGTCACGTCCAGAGCGCCACATTTAAATTCTTTTTTTTGTCAATGTTTATTACTTAAATGCGCACTTAACCACAATTTTATCTGTACGGCAAACTAACCATTTGGTGGCAAATGAATGAGAGAAGATGGAAAACTATTCAATTTCAAAGGTTTAATAATATTTGGCTATGGAATAAAACCTAAGTTGGCAGAGTCTCACCGAAATGACGAAATTGCCATCTATCGTCAGCTGTCCCTGATAGACTATTGAGTTAACACAAAAAGAGATATACAGTAAGTATACTTATACACCATATAGATATATACTTACGTACATATTCATGTATATATTTATAATACAAAATAGAACTGAAAATCCTGCTGCAGTACTATTGCTTTGTGCAGTTTACCGGAATAACTCTGCTTTCTATTTTGAGCCGTGTTAAGTCACCGTAAAAATATAAATCCTCCTCACTCACCCCCTACCTTCTTATAAGCATACAATAGGGTTATCGTCGTTCAACTCGGTCGAAATTTGACATACTTAGGTTAAATGAAATTTAAATAAGGATTAACCCCGTCCCCCAGGCCACACAAACTCACTTCCAAAGTAAGCGTGCCGGATACCGGGTCGTTCTGGTACGGTCGGGTCTGCAGCGACAGCACTTGCCTCTGGCACGGGTTGACCAGCAGTTCTTCCACGCCGACTATGGCCAATCCCATGAAGTGAACGTTATCGCTTGGGTCGCAGTCGTACACCTCGAACAGTATCTCTTCGGTCCGTCTGTTCAGAGTGCTAAAAGCACAACGAGAAAACAGATAGTAAAAATAAACAACAACAACTTCCAGAAACTTATCGTAGTGCGCCCCTAATAATTTATACACCGTGGTACAGATCCGTGGTGCTTACAAGTTACAGTTACAACGAAAATATCTACGAACACAGGTCGGATTTAATTTAGAACAATTGACACTTGCATTAATTGATCATATTTTGATTATTTTCGCCCATCCCTGGTAGAGTATGTAGTCTTCATCAAGGATCAATCACTGAATCACCATTCGTAACACCAGTCTTATTTCTCGTTATCCGATTCCTCTTGTTTCCCTTGTTCCTCAACCACCATTAATCCGGAGTAATACTAAAGTAAGATAGTAGTGCACTACCACAGAATAAGTAAAACCAGATAATGCGGTCCGGAAAAATGTAAACGAACTTAAATAATCTCAGGCTGGTGACCCAAATAATGAGAAAAATAACCTTGTTCTTTTCTCCGCTCTACGGAAAAACATTTAATCGTGGTTATGTTATCTCTTATCACGTATCTCTTATCACTTATCATTTATCTCTTATCACTCCTCCTCCATATTTCTTTTTGATTCGATTGCGATAACAAAGACATAGTCTATATGAAATTTCTATTTTTATTTTTCCGCCGGTGGTGTCTTACAATATGAAATTCTCGTTCCATTGCGGCGATGAGGTGTTTTTCTTGACGGATGTCTGCTTCTTCTGGAACGGGTCGTCCACCTCTATGACGCAGTAAGGTTCGAAACAACCTGAACAAAAACGACGGAAAAGTTATTTATGCTACATTCTTGTACATAAGAAATATTGGCCAACCTTGTTTCAAACCCAGTCCGACGGCTTTGATCACCTTTACCATTAATCTCTTCTCTCCTTGTTTACTAACCGTAGACGTGCCAACCGCCTTGAGGAAAACAAAAAATACAAAAATATAATTGTAATATTTATTTTTTTAGAGGATAGTTAATAATTCCCAACGTTGTTCGATGTACTGCACAAGAGCTTACCGGTCGGTCGCTATACGAGTCCAAAGGGGACGTCACCGAGGACTGAATGTGTTTCGTGAAAGCTGGGCAATCTGTCCACTGGTACAAATCTACAGACAGGTCTGTGGACCTGATGGCACCCGTCACTATGTCCATGATAACATCTTGGAGTTGTACTTCGTCTAGAGTGTTGCCCTTGATGGTACCCACTTGAGCCAACATAACTTTCACCTGCATAGATAACGTTTTGTATTAACAAACTTGCATAGATAGCTGTGGGGGTCACCGATAATTTAAACATAGTGGATTTATATTAAGAGTTTGCATAAAGCCACAAATTCGCTTTACATTGGTCCACAACATACGAATCCAAAAAGCGACAGACTTTGTATAGCATGTACCTATACTATGTCTATACCATACAAGTCTCGGGAACATTCTTCGGTCAAATAGGGTGTAAACAAAATGAGCAAATGGAAATGCAAGGTGTTATCTATTGTCTCTAGATTCTCGGTGTGTTTATTTTAATGTGACCCAACACACAAACTTGACAGTTATAATAAACCGTATTAGTTCGACTTTACTCAATTTATTTTCTAGTTTTCTACTTTATTTTTTGTTTTCTATTTCCTATTAAATGCTCAACATTCACTTATATACGTCAATGATAGACACATTACTTTAATTTTTTAATTTTTAATATCAAGCAATTAACAGAGCTTGCATCGTTTGGCCGGTTATAAAATTACTCAACTGGTGGTCCAATAGTAATATTATGCAAAAACGTTGCGTGACTCTATTATATTGTACTATTTTAGTAAGATTTTACAAAGCTTTTAACGATAATATACTTAATACAACACCTATAGTTAACACCTGCTGCAATCCCTGAATTTGTTCGGTTTTAATCAGTTCAATTTTGTCTCTATATTAGGAAAAAAATATAATACACATATGCATGTGTATCATGTATAATGTATATCATATAATATGATAGCAGAGAAGAAATATTGCATACATTTATTATGTACCATCAGGTTTTATGCAAATAAAGTTGTACATATTAACTGGCAATTAAAACGGAACGGCAAGACGTTATTTTATCCGGATGTACAGAGTTTTTAATATGTCACTAGATTTTCTAATAGTAATTTTTAAACGAAGAAATAGTCGTTTGTTTCCCTTTAGTCTGATATATACTGTATTAGATGAACATATTATGCAAATACAAGCTCCTTGAGGCAAAACAACCATTTAAAATGTTAATATAATTCTGTAGGACATGCGATAGTAGTTTCATTGGAAAAAATACCCAAAAGGGCCGAGCTCTAATATGTTTCTAGATATTATACATACTTGCTCGTTTTTGAGGTACACAGCAATCAATGTCTAACGTTGGCAGAATTGTTTAAGTGATTTATTGGTCTAAATACTTTATACTATCCAAAATCTAAACGGACCATTAGATATCAATAATAATAAGAGTCTTAATTTTTGTAACTAAAAGCATTGTTTTCAAATTGGATTGAGTTTCCTCTTTTAGATAGGCGTAGCACTGCCAATATGGAGCCAGTAACAAAATAATATTATCATTACCTATTTTCTCAAGTAGCAATGAAAGTTTTTACTTTTTTAAACTCATGTACATGTAATATATTAGAATTTAAATATTTATTACAAATCTATCAAAGATTCGCATCGAAACTTCACATTGGGTCTATAGACTTCTTTAGTTTAATATTGTTCAATAGCTAGTAACGTCCACTTAATAGATAAATTATTATCTAATAGACAGAACAACTTGGGATTTAGAAATATTTGAAATTATATTTCGCTCACATAGCTTAGGGTACGCAAGCATATAATATTATATTGGTATAGTCTGTTGTCTAATTTAGGACGACTTGAATTACTAACTAGGGCATACAAAACTCATATACAAAAGCATAAGTATTATGCTTAGAATTATGATGTCACAAGTTATGTAAATATTATAAAAGTAACAATGGAAACAATTTTTTCAACAAAAAAACATACTAACAAATACGATTCATAGGCACACATTTAAAGTTCAAACCCAGACGTGGCGATATTTGTTAACCATACTACAAACAATTTTTTTAATAAAATATTACCACCGACAAATGTTTTTGTATGATGTATAAAATTTAATAAATTTATATGTGAAAAAAAATTAGATATTCAACTTAAGTGTACTTTTATTGTAAGAGGTACATTCAGCTTTGCATTTACTAAATTTACAAACATTTGAAAACTTGTGCTGTTACGCAGGCAACACAGAAAAGAGTGTAGTTTAGTAAGTTTCAAAGTTTTATGAAGTGTAGTTTAAAAATTAAATACATTGGTGCTTGGACGGCGATGATACTGTCAAACGCTGATCGTTAGTTTATGGTGATACCAAAATATGTATAATATACAATAAAGAAGAGTTGATTATTTATTGATGAGAAAAAGCAACGATTTGAAATCATTGAATAATGTTTACACTGCAATTTAAGTAGTTCCGAACTTAATGGTTATTTGAATGCATTTTCGGATTTGTCTGAATTGAATAGTGAGGATCATTTTAAGAGATTAATTAACCGTGTTTGATTTATTCAAACTTTGAAAACTATAACTACCAAAAACGGGTGCATTCTAACACAGAAAATGCTCATCTCGCTGATTTTATTATTTAATTGTCTTGTCGTTATCGATTATTGCGTTAATAATAATAATAATAACAGCAATTAACCCGGTCAACAGAAGAGTGACTATTAATATGCGTGACTGTTGAGTCTGCCGTCCTTTTTAATTAGTGTAATTAATGAACTCACGTGTCTAAAGTTTATACACTATACACGGTTTGTTATCTGCTCTCATTGTTGAACTGTCGAGGAGTTTTGATATTTGAAAACTTTTCACTTGCCTTGAAAGACGGGCCAAGTTAATAATGAACTACAATTATTCTGAATCAATTTACTTTGTACATATATACCTATTTTATTCCATCAGGAACATCAACGCGTGCCCAAGAATTTATGTGGACGTTAACAATCATGACGTCTGTCAATGCAGGAAATGAAGAAAACAAAAGTTTTCTTTAGAGAAAATTACAAAGTCGCATTTATCGTTTTCAATTCAAGTAAAATGCCGTTTGTTACAAACTCATAAGATATATGTGGGTTCCTTCGCATGTAGGAATTAGAGGAAACGAAGCGGCGTACAAAGCCTCAAAGGAAATAGCCATAGCATTGAATATCGACCTGATTATAGAAATCCTTTCAAACGATACTAATACAAAAAGGAACTCGCCGAAAACGGCGAAACATGTGAACCGAAATACCATCCGGTAATAAGCTAAGGGAAGTTAATACAACTACAAACAATGGCGTTCAAATGTACCACAGACAAGAAGACAAGGCATAAACCTATCAAGTACTCGAATATTGGACACGGCCACATCACATGTGCACATTTACTTAACCAATATGCCTAAACTGCAACAAACCAACCACATAATCACAGAATGCAACAGCTATGACAACCAACGTCAATATAATATCGTAAATAATCTAAATATAATAATAATGTAAATAGAAATTAACCAAATTGTAATCTCTTATCGATTTTCTGTTATCATTTATCCCTTATCTCTTATCACTTATATCTTATCTCTTAATATATTTTCGAATATTGTAACGTGAATATGGTGACATAATATTTATTGTATCCAGCCTAATATCAAATGCCGTTTTTTCGAACCGTCTTGTCTGCGAAACGATGCAGCATACATATTAAATGGTTTAAAAAAAAAAACTTTACCTTGGGCCATCCGTCGAATTTAATCTGCGCCTTTTTCCTAGCAGTGTCGCACACTATGTTCATCCTTGCCTGCAACTTGTTTACGTTCACCCGGTAATGGGACACGTCCACCTTGTCGCCCTTTTGCCGCATAGCCTTCAGTTGCATGGACGGCATGGCGTCACAGTCGCACGTGATTGTCTGTAAAATTAGAAACAGCTTATACACTACAATATAGTAGCTTAAAAAAAAAACCCAATATACAACCAACCATCGAGCTTTTACATGAGTATAATATGTTATTTTAAGCTACCTATTTTGTACAGTTCGATTCACACCGGCTATGAACCGGCCAATATTTCAGAAGACTGCCATATGACGAATATGCAGTATCTCTAAAAATCAAATTGTTTGTAAAATTGGTTTTTCTAAGTTTTTCACCTTGAGATTATAATTTTTCCCTCACGTTGGCCATTAGTCATACCATATCCTTAATATTTTTGAAAGCGTGGTTTTGTACTTAGTCTATAATTTTTCAGTTTTAAGGAGATACCGCATGTGTTAGAATAAAAATAAAGTGTCTCCATAAATACCGTGTCCTGTCAGTTAATTTTGTACTTACTGTTGTCGTAGTGATAATTATTGATAACAACAGAATGGTGCAACACATTTAATGGTTTTAGTTAGTACCTATAAGTATTTGATAAATGGCAGATACTTAATCAAGTTGAATGTACTCACTATGTTTTCGTGGACGCCCAATTCACAGAAGATATTGGAAAGAGTTGGGGCATGATTTTCCGGTAGAAATCTTACAAACTCCACTCCCACGCCGTGCTAAAACAAAACATTTTGAAAATAACTATTTAACTGAAATATAATATTAATAAAGTTACAGTCTACTAACGGCTAAAACTATAAACCACGGAACACGCTTTAGCCTGCTGGCTTATGTTAAATATAAAATACTTTTAAACAAAACTTGCATACATTTTAAATACTAAGTTTATTTATTTTTATATTTGTAGGTATAATACTTTCCTCAAAAAAAAAATGAGCAATTGTAATATTTTTATTTTCTAACCGCAGTTCTTATAAATATCCCATTTTTGAAAATTATACCAGATAAGCAATTAAACTTACAATGTGAAACGTAAACCCAATAAATTATCGTTTAGTTCTTCCAAAGTTTTTGCCTATATCGTCATTGCTCTGTGTGGTACATTGTGGATTGTTACTGTTTTTTCCGTAATTTATCAAATATATGACGGTGTTATCATTATATTATCATCAGTTATCATCACTAACCTAACATTTAAATATTTATCATGGAAAAGCTACGTATTATTTTTAGTTTCCATGAAATTGTATACAAAATGGATGATCCTAAGTCGGGACATATTATTTTTGCCCGTATGTGCATTACATTTATTGAGTTCAGTGTTATTTGAAAATAAAAATAAAAATGTTCAAGTTGCTATTAGATTTTTAAAAGTTTCCCTCTACAACAGCTATCTTTAAAAACAATAACTTGGACTAACGACTAGATTGAAAACAAATTTTCATCATTTTAATATAATATAAGGTAATACGAAAAAATAATTGGAAATACAAACAAGATAAGCAAATAAGTCTGTTTATCTGATCGACATTATTACAATATGGTTTACACTATTATATTAATAGTTAGTGTTTTGATCGAGTTTATAACTAATGAACTTTTGTATTAAAAAATAAAATCCTTCAGCAAGTTAAACCGTTGTAAACTTTAGATATTGCGTGATAAGAACAACAAAACAGTCTGCTGTAGATGAGTCGGTGTCAAGGCGGTAGTTTACACGTACTTAGCATACAAACTACATTTGACGTTTTCGCTTTATTAAAAAAAGGGAGAAAAAAGCCAAAAATTAAAACGACATTCGCAAACATTTTATATTGTATAATTATTTATTCTGGATCAAGTTAAAAATCACAGAATTAAAGAAGCGCATAGTTGTTGTTGTCTAATGAGTCAGTATTTTTTTTTTATCGAGTAACGTTAACGTAGCTAACTTTTTATGATTTAACTATGTTGTCCAGAATAATAATTATAGGGCGTTCCAAAAATAAAAAATTCTGATAATAAAAAACTAGGTTGTTGCTTAACTCTTTCATATTTTTACGCTCGGTTTCGTGCACTTTAATCGCCGTGCAAATTATTATTATTTTCTATTTTTGTCTACTGTAAATAATAATAAAAAAGCTAACACAATCAAAATAAAAACGTATCGTTGTGAAAATAATTATACATTATGAGTTCTTTATCAAAGTTTAAAATTCTATACAGGCTGATTTTTTTAACATGGGCCACTCATCATCTCCCTGGGTTTAATAGATTTACAGAATGTGATCTCATTTTTTCACATATATTTTTTGGTTTTACTCCCCGTCACAAATTATTTATTTTGTTGGCATTTTTTGATTTTCAAATGAAATGGTAGATTTTTTTTAAAATTAGTTTAACATGAATTGACCTTACCCGATATTATGATTTTATATGACATATTGGGCCATGCAGTTTTAAATAAGCTAGATATTGTCACTTAAACAGTTTAGGACGGTGTTTAAATTGTTTTAAACTAATAATACATAATTTGAGTAAATAGGTACCTACTAATTGTTTGACAAGGAAATATCGAACAACAAATAGTCTGTTCAATAATTGTATTCTTAATTTTGTTTAATGCAATCATGCCTTATGAGTTTTTATGTTTGTATTAATATTGTTTTTGTATTATATAGCATTTACTAGTTTAAAAATCTTTAAGTATTATTTTTAGAAGGTTTTTACCCATAAATATTATTTTATATTCACAATGTGTACATTATAAAAAAAAAAACTATTCATCAACCGAAACTTAAGGAGTGGAATTTCATGCGTATCTACCAGATTAAGTTTACTAATTCATTTAAAAGAGTTAAAAAACTAACATCACTAAATATAGAATAAAAGTTTTGAAGAAATTGTATGTCATTAGACCTGTCTATTGTAATAGAACTTTGTTCTTGTAATTACCAACTATCTGTTATAGGAACTTGTGCAATGACATTTTAAATAGCTAAACGTAGGAATTGCTAGAATTTAGGCATGATTAAGTAACAAGCTTGTTATTTTTGTCAGCATTATTAAACATTTTATCATTTTTGTTTCAAGTGAGTGTACTCTCTTAGTCTGTCTCAAGTAGTTGTGACTTCAAATTTTAAAATATTAATAAAACCCAGTAAAATACTGACTGGCCCATGATAAAAAAATAACCCGGTAGAATGTATTTTAAACAACATTCTTTTAAACGTTCAAAGTAAACGATAATTATTATATTTAAAAGTAAAGATAATTAATAACGGATACGATATTGATGGAATGTGCAAAAAATGCACGTGTATTGCAACTATGGAATTGTACAAAACATGTTTTGACCAAAATATATTGAAATTAATTCCGTTGAAAACGCAAAATATTAATGAACTTCTCTTATAAAGTATTATACGCAAAAATTCAATTTTAACGAGCATGCCTTAAATTACTCTGGGGAAAAGATAATACTTAATCCTACCGCTAGTGTCTACTCGAATGAATAAAATACAAATTGATTTGACTCAACGGAAAAGGGCTAATGTGTATTATTTAGATTTCCCGTTTTCCACGTTTGGTATTTGTTAATATTTTGAATACTTTATTTATCCTTTTTTTCTCAAAACCTGAATTCTAGTTACAGACTTATCCGAAAAAAACTTACTCTCGCTCATCTCGAGTGACCTTACTCATACATTATTTAGACTCGACCGTTTTTTTTAACAAAGAAAAGCCCCTCCAAAAAAAAAAACTCATTCGTATCATGCTATATTTCCATGCTGCTCTGTAGTGAATGAATCAACAATCAAAAAGATTTTCAGACGGCAACAAATTATTAAGATAGCTGGGCGGAATTCAATTTTAGGCACATTGTAGACTTTGTGTGGATTTTTATACATTTTTCATATTTTTGTTGTCTACAGAAAACATTTTTTATTTTATTTAAAAAAGTTATTTTCTTACTCTGCTATAATTATTCCTTCAGGCCTGTGACTGAACTATACCGTCAACCTCACTATACTTGCCACTACATCCGACAAACAAAAAACAAATTGAAAAAGCAAACAAAAGTTCGCTGGAGGTGGTAAATATTAATAAAAAAAAAGTCCTTTACGTTTCATTTGTATTATCAAGGTCTTGGTCGTCGCCGCTAATGACTTTTTGAATTTTTTTTATACATACAACGACAAAAACACTCATAAGACTCATACTAACACGTAAAAAGTATCTGGGGAAACGCTGTATACAATGTAAATGGTACAGCTGCCAACAGGCATATTATTATGAAATGTAACAAGTTTAAGATGCAAGACCACTTATCTCGTTTTTCTCGATTGGAGAGCGAAAAATCAGTATCAATAACAAATCGAACAAAGTTAAAAAATTGAAATAACAAAACGATATATTTTTGGATAACACTCAAATAACAACATTATTCGAACAAACGGTTTTACTTGAAGTGTTTTTTTTTTTTTTTTTAATCGAACAACTCTCGACTCAGCTAACACGTATGCGTGGGTCGGTTATTCTTCTATCGGTTTTTTTTTCCAAATTTTATTTTTACATCCGGCATCACTGTGTCAGCACAGTATAAGTATACAGCACAGTAATAATATTATAATATTATTTACGGATTTTTATTTTTGGCACCGGTCGGGAATAATAATTATTCTGCGGGCGGTTGGGTCGAGTGGACCGGGTAGGGTCATACAACAATAATAACGACGATGTATTAAACGAACGTATTAAATAAAAAGAGAAAACTTTCTCGAGAAAAATACCCTCCCCCGGCACGAGCACATACTTGCATAGTTTGTACCGAAATAAATAGAAACAAAAAAAAATCCCCAAGTGACGACGATAAGGTTTAAAATAACCACGGATGGAGTCGGGCAAACGCCAAATGGGATGACCGACAAACGGGAAACAGAAAAACAACGCCGAGGTCGCCCAAGGCTGTGTATTTGACAGCTATTGAAAATTTACAATCAACTAACGTTCATGAAATCGTTACACTTCTCGAATCCTTCAATACCAATAAGCATTAGGTCATGAGGATTTAATAAGGTAGTAAATAGAATCGCCAAGTACACCATAAAGTATGTTTAGCAGACACTCATTGCAATCGCATATGGTCAGTACGTCAGCAGCTGTACAAAACACGTTTTGAAATTCTTTAATATATTGAAAAAAACATATTTTGTTTAATGGAAAATGAAGAGTATTTAAACGACCAGTCTACCGTTCATTCCTAAAAAAAATATTAGTCGAGTTCAGGAAAAAAACAAAATCGAATGCGTCCAAAACATGATTTAATATCTTTCTTGTAAATTTAATTATTATTTTTACGTAATTAGTTTGAAGGTATATTTTATTTTTTGTCCTCGGTCGATTAAAAAAAAATTGTTTGAAAAAAAGATGATTTATCTAATAGAAGCTAGTACAAAAACTTAGGTAACAATTGAAAATAATTGTATTAACGTTTTTTGAAGTTTATTCAAGAGCACAAAAAAAAAAAAAAAAAAACACATTTTTGTAAAGACCATTCTTAGCTATGTAACGATGTTTTAAAATATGTGTAAAAAAAAAAGGTAAAAAAATATTAAATTAAAAAAAAAATGATTGATGTTTAAATAATTTGCGTTAATCAAGAATTTTCGTACAACAATTACTATCCAAGCACCAACATATTTCTTTTATTTTTAAACAACACTTCTTGAAAAAA